GTTAGTCTGATTAAAACTCGAGAACGGCTGGGCCGATTGTGCTGATTTTGGTTTTAAAATGTTTGTCGTAGTCCAGGGTAGGTCTAAACGGTGAGCAAATACGCGCGCGATATTGTTTTTCTATGACAGACAAAATTCCACTCGGGCGAAGCCGCGGGCGGAAAGCTAGTATTTAATAAAATTCATCTATAACCCCGCGCCACATGCGATATGACATAACATGCGTAGATTAGTCCAAAATATGCAATGGATAGAATGATATCAAGAACATTTTTCGGATGAAAAGGTAAAAAACAGACTTTTCATTCAGTCATAACTTTTTACTGACAGCATATTTTTGATTGCGGTTTGGTTATAATGAATCAGTATTTAGTAGAGTATTTTACTACATAGGTCTCGTTAGTGGTGGACATTTGGACCACACTCCATACATTTTTGGTCATTGTCCTTTAGAAGACTGTACTACTAGAATTTAAGTTTAATGTTTTGTTTTGTTTATTTAAAGCCTATTTTGTCATTTTAAAATTGATAATTTTGTTTTAAGATACTGGGCAATTACTGTGCTTTGATGTGGGCAATTAGTGTGAGTAATGGGCAATGACTGTACTTTTTGGAGGATTTTAAATTTATTTCAATATTTTCTAAGTTACGTAAGTTTTAACTAAAAACTGTTAATATTCTGTTTAACAGTTTATTGAGTTATAAGAAAAAAGTCATAAATGGTCGATAATTAAAATACTTTGTTTAATTTTTCATCTCAATGTGTTTGAAATCTTTAAGTGGGCAATAGCTATACGGTTTACCCTACNTTTTTCATCTCAATGTGTTTGAAATCTTTAAGTGGGCAATAGCTATACGGTTTACCCTACATATTTTAAGAGAACGAAAAGTCTTAATTCGTTCACTAGTGCGCAAAATTCGTAAATTATATTATGAGCTCATAAGAATTTTAATTAAGTAAAATGCTATTATGTATACGCATTTATAAATTATGATAAGAGGCTCTAACGATGCAGTCTGATCGAGTACTTGCCTACGAACCCACGGCATCTGCATACTCGTTCATTAACCCATTCATTAATATTCGATTAGTTCTGGGTACTTAAATGCTATTTTAGTCCGCATCTTTTTGATACCACATAATTATGTTCTGTGACATTATTATGGCTTAATCATTATAATTTTAATTGGTATGTTTAAGAAATACTTCGTTGTCACATTCACGGTTCACCTCAATCAGATTGCAACGAAAAATCTATCAGGCGCGGTTTTCTATGCTATATTAGATTTGATAGAATAAACACCAGTGCTATGACAACATACAAATCTCAACATTCCGTCTAAAAACTATTACTTCTTGTACTACTACCGATACTAGTAAGGGGCGAACTAAAATGTTTACTAACAGCAAATAATAAGAATCATTATTGTCTGACACTGGGTTATTGTCAAGACAGCAGCTCGGGCGTCGCTAGCCACGCTATTTGACTATAGTAAGCTGGAGCGTGACGTCACACACTGGCATCTTAATTTTAACTGGATAATCTGTTTAGCAAAGCTCTTACTGAAATATATTAATCGTAATTATACATTAATGAGAAAAAATAGTGGAAGACTACTTAGCATCATTTAAAAGTACAAATTTTATGTTAACATTCCATAAAAAGATAATTTATCAGTGAACTAGAATTAATTATAATCAATCAGTATATTGTTATGGGAGATGCGATGTGAATTACGTTGTTATTATCTCCTTATTACAAGTTGTTATGCTTCGCAACAAGCAAACCACGTGTGACGTCACGCCGCGCTGTTACACTATGCGATGCGTACACGCAGAGGCCACATAATAAAACAAAATCAACTGAAAAGGAACGGGAAAAAAATAAAAGTAAAATAAAAAGGGATATTTGGATGTTTATTTACAATTTGCTCTCTAATAATAACTATTTGATTATTATTGAAGAAAAACTTAAGCAACATCAGTGCTATATCCCCTGATAACCCCACATATCGATTTTAAAACATGTTAATCATTTCAACTTGTGTTACACAAGCCCTATAATCTAAATTAAAACATAAAATACCCATCAGAGTTAGGTCTCGGCTCGTACCTGCAGGTACTATATTGTTACATGAAATCATTAAAATCAAACATAAGCCTACTGTAATAGTTTCACCGCCACAATCATCAATGAATAAAATATATAATAGTACAATCACAGTGAAATAGAACTAATATGCGTACGCACTTAAACAGTACAAAATGATAGTAATTAATACACATCTTATATGGAGTATTTGTACATTAATGGGTCGACATATTATATTATTGCTCGACCCGGGGCGGGGTCGCTACTGGTGCCGGAGCCCGGGCTCGAATTCATCCAGCTGCTTCGCAAATGCAATTTTATACACATGAACAAAAATTTTATTGCAACAACCCAAAATTTACAATAGTCAGTTTCGAACAAACTAATATTTTGTAATAATTACAATCAGTAAATCACAGTATCGCGCCGACGGACAGTTTATTATACTGGTAAATGTATTTCATACGATCGAATATGCCCCAATATACACAACACTAATTAATAATAAGGCAAAAATTTAACTCCAACTACACGATATAGTAAGCAGATTTTTTAATTAACTATAAACGAATGAAAAAAAAAATATAATAGAAAATAATTGTTATTGTTAACATTCCATCAGTTAATACACTTAAAAATAAACCCCAAAAGTCCGAAAAAACCTTACAAATAATAAATTACTAAAAGGCTTGGATTGCGGGTACGTGGCGTGAGGCACGCAGGCAGAGATCAAGGTGCGCGCGAGCATGGACCCGCGAGAGTTCTTACGGAACTACCCTCTGCCCTCAACCTTTGTTAACGTCAACATTTTTGGCAATATTGCCCCGCAACATTGCGTCAATACAATCGTTGAATTGGCCAACACTTTGATGAACAGTAAGAGTATAGTGTCGCAACATTGCGGACCGTATTCCCGGGTGCGTATTGCTCCAAAATATTGCTTATTATTATGGTATTTAAGATTAGACTAGCTTCCAAATAGCGTCAGAGGACGACCCCGATCTCCTTACGTAGCACCCGCGCGAGTGACATGGGTCGTTCGCGCCGCGCGGCGAACAGTGAAAGGAGATTTCGACAGTAGTCCGTGGATTTAATTAAAATTATACAAAAAATAAACCACTCAACCGAATATAAGAACAGTAAAAGCTTCAGCCGTGTTGCTCGTTCCGTTCGTTACACATTGTATATTAATTTCATTGATTAATAGCAGATACGGCGATGACTGATATAAAATAAGAATTATATTAATTAAAATTACATTTTTAACGTTACCAGTAAATTCAAAGACAGAGATCACTTTATAACTTATAATTTAACCCAATCGTTTTCCTATTACCGATATGTTGAATATACCTACATCGCGCAATTTTATGCGAAAGAAATAAATTCAAAAATTAAAATAAAATTTCTAAAAAATATTACTGTAAATCTGTATGTTTAAAACTCAAGGCAGGTCCATGCACGGCAAACGTGACGTGCGTCAAGCTGACAAGTTATTAAACACGCGATATGAAAGAAACACAGTACATAATCCCTTACAAACAACTAAACTAATAGCAATCAACTAAGATTATCACCCTGGCGGTCTCTAAGGAAGAACCGTAAATAATTGTTATTTTTAAGTAAAATTTCATACAAAAGGAATTAAAATCACTCGTCAGAATGATCGCACGCCACGTTTGATCGACACACTGTGTTGGTACGATAAAACGACAAAAATAATAATGCATAACACTAAATCTACAACCGTAAGAGATACAGAACTAAACATAACATTATTGTCAGGCAGCAAAGCTAGTGAACTTTAATTCAAATTAACGTTACATAATAGTCTTGTCATAAAACGTATCTTTAATATTGAATAGTAAAAGAATGTACCAAAGTTACATCATCGGGTGCACCGTGATTAAATAGTGGTTTATTATAAATAAAAACTCTTAATGCACTAATTACAAAATCTACTGATACAAGCAAAAAATATAATGCTTCGCGTCCACTAAAGCGCGCGGTTTGTCGGCGCACTTGTATTATATGACTACACTTGTACGATACGACTCACGGGCCGCGAACCGCGCGCTTAGTGTCGCTCGGCCTTAGCCGCTACCCGTGGCACAGCAAATAAAACATTATAAAACTGATACAATACCATTCGCGACGAATACTGTATTACAACTTTGTAAGTAGCATTAGCTTCGCCGTGCCACCGATAACGAGTTTGCCGAGCCGGATCAAGTAACGTTCACAGCAATTCACGTATGACCGTGTGACTTAACATAATGTGCTCCGAAGGCTGTATAAATATACCGCGCCGCCCCGGCAGGCGGCGGCTCGCGTTTCTAAACATCTAACAAATTATACTAAATAAATTGCAGTCGTAAATTAATTGCATTTAATTTGTATAAAGAACATTTAGCATCTCTTTAAATAACAATTCGCACTATCTAATGTGAATATACATGCATTACAGTCGTTAACTATTAGTGTGTACTAAATGTTTATAAAATTCTTAGATATTTTTTTTATTATTTCCTCGTTTAGTATACTTGAATCTACGCCTATACAAGTAATCCATCACCGCGCCCTACACACGTATTATCTACATAATATAAAACTCCCTTTAATTAATATGAATATAGTAATAAACACAGCATAATGTTTGTTTGCCTACCGCGACCGACTCGCTCCTCGTCGCTCGCACACTCTACGCTGAAGTTAAAATAAATTGTAATTGACAAAATCACCGTCACATAATAACTAAAGCTCCTAAATAAACCGAACATACATCAGTTCACTCGACTGCGAAGCACACCGACTCACGTCGTATTCGTTACTAATACATTCCCATATAGTAATTTGGTACAAACACTAATGTCTACGATAAAATATTAGTAAATGCAACCTACACGCTTCGCTTTATCAGCAAATAATAATAATAATAAAAATTAACGCGAAATTTACAATCCATATTATACATTTGAAACAAACCGCTTCCACTAAGCCTACATATAGACGAGAAACGATAATTAACTTAGACGCGTCGGTAGCGCATACCGACCTACGATTAAACACATCCTACATTATACCGTCGTATAACACCAGGCTCCCGCCGCTCGGCAGGTCGGGTACGATTGAAAATAATTTAACATACTCTCCTATACGATAAAGATTTGTACAGAAAGGGTCGATTAACTATAAATACACAGGGCGGCGGAAGCCGAGGCGTCGGCGCCGCCCAGAACGAAAGGAACTTTAATATATTACATAAACGCGCGAGTAACACACTAGTCATAGATTTAATTAAAAATTGCAGTGTGAGAGGATCGGTCGAATATATTTGGTTCCGCGGCGCCGAGCCCTCCGCCGCCAACGCCTAATGGCACTTTACTGACCATTTCACAACACAGTGGTACTCTTTTACTCAATTTTATTCTCCGAAACGATCAACCTTATGAAATGGACTGTAAAGCGCAATCTAGTGGCCAACTAAAATAGAGTAGTTCCACAATCCATTTCCAATTTTATTTAAATTAAGCTACTATTTTTTTAGTAACTTACGAATCATTTCAACATGAAATTTTATTTCGATTGTGACAACTCTATTGGAGTGAACCACCGCTGTCGTTACATCAAGATGCGCGATGTCTGACACCGCCGCTGTCAGCCGGGCCACCCTTAACCCTTGCACCAGTACAGAGGAATATTTAATATATCGCGGGTGTCAACCTAAAGGGACTAATAATATTACAGTATTGCTAACACATTTCTGACTGTCTAAATGTCCATTTAAGATTTGACAAAAATGAGATTGTGACCATAATAATAATGTTCCTATTGTGTAACAGCGTCGATTCGTGTAGTTCCGAATTTTGGATAATGATGGGACTTGACAAAAATGTATTGTCTACTTCAATACGATCATTGCGTTTACTAAATCAATCCTGTAACAAATAACCTGTTTCTTTCGCTTTAGCGCGACATCAATAACATCTCTTTAGGGTGATATCGATTGTGAAATTGCAAAAATTGATTACCGCTGGGTTACACTGAAAAATGTCCTCCTAAGTTTCGAATGTACGATTTGATTTTCGTGTGTACGAGGTCCCAGGTACTGCACTGTATAATAACCTCTGTTTTTCTTCCTTTATCGTGACACCCTCGACACGAGTGACATTCCAAAAGTGACACGACTGTGTCATTCCAAACATTGTCACACTGGTGGAGACTTGCTAACGGTGCATTATTAACCTGTTTTCTCCCTTTAGCATGACACCCTCGACAGTAACACGACCGTGACATATTGTCACACTGGCGGAGACTAACCGTGCAAATCACCTTCGTCTCCTCTTAGCGTGACACCCTTGACAGTGCCACGACACGGCCGTGATATTCCATTGTTTGTCACTGGCGGAGACTTGCTAACTGTGCAAATGACTTTAGTCTCCTTTTAGCGTGACACCGTCGACAGTGCCACGCCACGGCCGTGACATGCCCCCTGTGTGGCTGGGGCGCGGGCGTGGCAGGCTCAGTCGGTGTACCAGAGGTGTTGCTGCGGGTGCTGCGGCACGAGGTAGGTGGGCGAGTAGGGCTGCAGGTAGCCGGGCAGCCGCGCGCCGCTGCCGTGGTGCGCCGGCGGCGGGCCCGCTACTCCGCCCACGCCGTGTGCGCCGCCGCTGTAATTGGAAATGTAAGTTAGTTATTTGTTTGTTTATTTATTTATTACTAGCGGCCCCCCGCGATTTCATACGGTTACCCCCTTAGGGGTAGGGGTAGGGATAGGGGCCCATAGGTTTTACCCCCTTAGGGATGGTTTCGTAAAATCCTTTCTTAGCGGATGCCATTTATTTATTACTAGCGGCCGCCCGCGATTTCATACGGTTACCCCCTTAGGGGTAGGGGTAGGGATAGGGGCCCATAGGTTTTACCCCCTTAGGGATGGTTTCGTAAAATCCTTTCTTAGCGGATGCCTACGTCAAAACATCTACCTGCCCGATCCGTCCAGTGGTTTGGGCTGTACACCACCAACAAAGTCACGTACAAGTACTATAAGCCACAGTGTTAATTATCCATTTCCGTTTTAGCTCTCGCTCTCATCAAATGGTGATTATTTGCGATAGAACGAGACAGCACGACCGGCAATGGGTAGTTAACACTGTTGCTGATTACTATCAGCAACAGTGTTATTACTATATATTTTTAATTTTGGTTAAGAAAACTGTATATGTATTTCATTGTCAGTGTTACAATAACCGAAAGACGATAGTTGGACGAAAGGCAATGCAAGGGAGTTAGTTTATTCTGTTTTGTAATAGTTAAAATGGCAATAATTAATATCTTTCATTTTCATTTCAGGCAAGGACATCCACTGATCGACAAATCCAAGAATCTCCACAACACCGGTCCTGCACTGCCTCTCACAATCTTCAGAAGATTACCGATCTACAGAAACTTGCCTACATCGCGTTTGTCGTGAGTAATTTGCATTACTTATCCTATTAATATTATAAATGCGCAAGTTTGTGTGGATGTTTGTTACTCTTTCACGCAAAAACTACTGAACGGATTTTGTTGAAACTTTACAGTATTATTGTTTGTAACCCAGATTGACATATAGGCTATAATTTATGCCGATCTGTGATACTAAATTTCACGCGGGTGAAGCCGCGGGCAAAAGCTGTGGTTTATAAAAAGTATTCAGTACTCACGTGTGGTAGTGGTAGGTGGGCACGTAGAGCGGCGGCGGCAGGTAGCCCGGCGACACGCCGCCGCCCGGCGACAGCACTCCGCCGCTGCCGGGCCTGGAAGTTACATTACGTCTTAATTAATTTAATTTAATTAATAAATAAATAAATCTCTTGAAACGTGGATGATGCTAAAGTGAACCCTTTCAGCTCAGATTGCCAATTTCGCAAAATGCCTACCGCTCACTCGCAAAGTTGGCATTTCAAGAATAGGCTAGTTTCCTAAAAAAAAATTTTTAGTCTGTCAATTTTAATATAAAAAAATATTGGACACGTATGTATATTTTTAATTTTCAATCAAACAAATAATTACAAAGTTATAGTGCGTTGAAGTTCCACGCGACGTCACAAAGTGCTGCACTTTTACGCACTCACTGACGTCACGGGCCTTTTCTTTAGAACTTTGGCACGATTTATCTCTTTACATTTTCACTAGTTTTAAAAAGTGAAAAATAGGTTTCGAGTATTTTTTGATAAGCTAACTGACGGACTAATTAACTCTTGCTTTTTTACCCAGGAAACATCCCTATTTTTGAAGTTGGCGGTTGGCATTCTGAGCTGAAAGGAAGTGAACATGTAACTGTGAGTCTGTCTGTGATAGTGTATTTCCGACCAATATATTAAACGTTATCGATTATCGTTGACATTTGTGTATTACAATCGGTGCTAAATAAATTTTAAATCGACTGAGGTATTGCTAATTTTTTTGAAGTACTTGTTAGTCCTAATACCACACAGCAAGTCGAGTCTTACATAGCTGGCTTCGCTCCTCGTACGTATAAATTCATTCATGTGGTTTCATTTCGTGTGGTTAAACCACAAACAAATATTTTAATTGCATATTTCCGAAATATGCAGGTAAGGTAATAGGCAGTAAGTCAGCTGTTTTTGCTATCTGGCAACTTTATAACTGACCAAAATATTTTTTGGTGCATGTCGTGGCAGACTAAAGGAAATTTCTTTTTCTTATCGTATCGACTACGGAGTGGAAAGTGGAAGGAAACTAGGAATGTATAGTGTATGCTTTATTGGTTGTCCTTATAATAAGTTTAATATTTCGTGGTGGTGGCACTCACTTGTAGTGCGGATGCGGGTGGTGGGTATAAAGAGTGGAAAGTGGAAGGAAACTAGGAATGTATACTTATAGTGTATGCTTTATTGGTTGTCCTTATAATAAGAATAGTTTTATATTTCGTGGTGGTGCTGGCACTCACTTGTATTTAGGTGCAAAATGTTAAATCCATAAAAATCTTATTAATTTATGATATTTTTATCCTGTTTACTTGTTTTAATTTTGTTGATTAGTTTAACCACCGAGTTAATAAAATAAAGTATTAGGTTAGGTTTATTTATTTTATAACTGGGCATAGGCGGAAATCGGGACAAGTTTCGATATACCGGAATTTCCTCTATGCGCAGTAAGAATGACATGATGACATTCGTGGTTGTTTTAGTGGGTAGATCTTGCCCTTCTGGCAGGGAGAGCCCCACGAAACCTGTCGTCTGACTACAGGGGCAGTAGTCTTATGCATTTTTTTCATGTTAACAGATTTTTATGGATTTGTCATTTAGTGCGTTTGTCTTTTTTTTTAATCCTCACTTGTAGTGCGGATGCGGGTGGTGGTGCCAGGCGTGCGGCGGGTGCTTGTGCGCCTGAGGCGGGCCCACCACGCCTCCCGCGCCGCCGACCACGCCGCCGACCACGCCGCCTACCACGCCGCCCACCACGCCGCCCGCGCCCATATACTCGCGGCAGCCTCCGCTCTGTAACAAACAAACGTACGTGAGTCTTATGTCATTCGGTACCTCTAGCATGAACAACTATCGTCTTCGAATCGTTTGCGTATTAGACAAAATCCGATACTCAATCTTCGAATTAAACAATAATGTGACAATTTTGATTCGCAAAATAAGTTTCGTGCAACCATTTGTTCACTTTACGACACGTTCATAAAGGCGCTGTTGTAGTTTTGGTACTAAATCTCTTGATAGCGATTCGAATACTCAAACGATTCGAACTCGAAAGTTTTTCGTGCTAGCTGTACGGATTATTCAACGTTGTTTACCTGTGTGAAGAAAATGAATTTTTAGTGTTCTCATTTCACCTCAGAACCATTTCAACCAGGTGAATTTATTCGACTAAGGTCGCCTTTGTTCACCTAGGAATTAATTCACCCAGGTGGACAGATGCGACTTCTCATTGATCAAGTAGATTTATCACCCGCATAGGTTCCAAGCTAAAAGACGTAACTAAAAAATTCTACTTTCTTCACCCAGGTGAACAAAGTGGAATAATCCCACTATCAACAATCAAGCCACATGATGGCCACAGCTAAACATAAGCTTTTTTTTAATGATTTCCACATTGGCCGGATAAAAGTAGCCCAGCATCTTCTTGCAACGTTTATAATCCACTTTGTGGGTGGACGTCCCAGCATCTTTTAGCATGATATGGCAGGACGTAATGCCCAGTTGAGTTACAAAAGGTATGTGACTTATGTTATCTTATGTAAAAACAATGTGGATATACTTACACTATCCCTTTTGTGTTGTGCTGGCACGTACTGATTGCACTGGTAGTCGTTCGATTGGCGCACAGTCGTGCCGCTCTGTAAAAAATGTAAACAATTATTAATTATATTGCCAAGTAATCTAAAGGCTTAATAAAATGTATATGTATTAGGGTCTAGTAACCCATTTTATGCGAGTTTTCCAATAGTGTAGGAGGAAGGGTTTTCTTGCAGATTTGTGAATACTTTTTTGTGCAATAGTTGCAGTTCTGATGGTGCGCAAGCGGCGCCGGCGCCGCGGCGTTGTGTGGCGTAATGCTAGACAATTTTATGCAGCTTACTATTTTATTTATTTTACCAATGGTCCGTGACCCTCACTCGGCATGGGGCACACTGAAAACCAGCGCCGTGGCCTTCGTCACCGTGGGCCACGGCATATGCTGAGTGGGGCCCCGTTGCAGTGGGCATCTTGTTGGTGAATGGGTGGCACTGCTCAGTTTACTCTTGCTTTTATTTTTTCTTCTTCCATTATTATGTGCCACTGTCATGTCTATGTAATTGCCTGTATTTGTGTGATGTCCATTGTAATAAATGTATCTTTCTTTCTTTCTAATGCAGCGTTTTACTGTACACGTCGTGCAGTGCTAATGGCCAAGTAATGGGTGCCCTGTGGAGTGTACTCGGCGGCCGGGTGGTGCGAATCCTGTAGCTGCTACACCCGCTACTGTGTAGCGTAACCTAGCTACTGATTGGATAGTGAATAATAAGGGAGAAGGCACACGGTGCGGTGCGGTCGCGGCGCGGCGCCGAAGTGGTGTCGCTGCGGCGTACTTGTATATAAAAATCAATTATATGCCAGACGGTGCGTTCGCGCGCCGCACCGCAGGAACACCCTTCGATTGAGCGAGACGGTGCCGTTGCGGCGCCGCATACCACATATTGTGTACAGTGATGCTGCAAAATGTTTGGCTACTCTTTAAGGCGTGTACTGACCGGGTGGTGCGCGTAATGCGGCAGATGTTCGTGCGGCTCGCGCTTGGCGGCGTCCTGCTGCGCGAGGAGCAGGATGCGCTTCTTCTGGCTCTGCGGCGTGGGCTGCGCCGGCGCCGCGCCGCCGCTCGGGCGCTGCGTGCTGCCGTGCGCCGGCTGAGGAGGCGCCGGTTGGACAGGCTGAGGTTGCGGAGGCGGCTGCTGTTGCTGTGGCTGCGGCTGCTGCTGTTGCTGTTGCTAGAAGGTACATTTTAAGTCAGTTAGGCGTTATTTATGACTAGCGGCCGCCCGCCACTTCGTACGCGTGGATCCCGTTTTACCCCCTTCATCTATCTTACGCGGTTTAGATTTTTTCATACAAATGTTTTTTCCTAACTCTCGTTCCCGTGGGAATGTTGCAATATCCTGTTGTCACTAAACTTTAAGTTTACTAAGGTACCTGCATGCCAAATTTCGAGCGTCTAAGCGGTTTAGATTTTTCATACAAAAGGATTTTCCCGCTAATTTCCGTTCCCTTGGGAAATTCGGGAATTCCTTTCTTAGTGCACCTCTACGGTACCTAAGCTACGTCCCTTCCAAATTTCAAGTGCCTACGTTTAGCCGTTTAGGCTGTGCGTTGATATGTCACTAAGTCAGTCAGTTTGTCCTTTTATTTATTTAGATGTCCACCTTGTAGGTGGACGTCCCACGCTGCGTTTTCCGGTACGCGACCTCCACTCCAGCACCTTGCTGCCCCATCGGCCGTCAGTTCTGCGTACTATGTGCCCAGCCCACTGCCACTTCAGCTTGCTAATCCGTCGGCTATGTCAGCGACTTTAGTTCGTTTACGGACCTTCTCATTTCTGATTTGATCTCGTACAAGGTGGACCGACGACATCATAAAGGTAGCAGGAAAGCGCTGGACGCAGGCCGCTACCAACCGGGCAGAATGGAAAGCATTGCGGGTGGCCTATGTTCAGCAGTGGACGTCCTATGGCTGAGATGATGATAATGAGGCGTTCTTGGAGAAGTTGGTAGTTGACGACATGAGGCACGACGTGTCGCTGCGACACTACTAATTCCCTCCGTGGTTAGCGATACGAAGCTAGCGACAACTACGGAGGGAGTTTCATAGAAATACACTGCTGGCTGTCTCACTACTCGTCTGCTGCCTCATGTCGTCCGCTACCAACTTGTACCGTTTTTTCGTTATAGAACTGCAAGCACTGCTCATTACTCCACAGGCATAAATGACAGCACTGAGCACTGCTCGCAGAGCTATAACGAAGCCCATAAAGAACGCGAAAGAATAAAGACAGTCAAACAGTGCCGACACGTGCTCTTTTTGACAGAAGGCACAAAACACAAAACTACAGAACGCAATTTTATTAGCACAGTGCTGGATCGCCTTTGTCTTAGGCAATTTAGTGGTGTGTCAATATTTTAGAAGAATAATGATATCCTTTTTCCAGACTCTCGCGCTGCATGACGTCATCAAGCATACCTGGTGCGGATGATGATGGTGGCAGGGCTGGTGGTGCGGCTCGTGCTTGACGGCGCGGTCGTCGCGCGCCGCGCTGCAGATGACGGATGGCGCGTGCGGCGTGGGCGCGGCCTGCGCCGGCGCTTCGCAGCTGTTGCTGGCGCCGCCTGCTGTGGAAACAGTCATACGTTAATATTATGCTCTCTAAGGGCTTTACGGTAAAAGCTGCGCGGGCGCACACGCTCTGATCAGGTGTTTTGCGGACACCCCGAGACAGGTTCGTGTGCGGCGGTCAACGTCTGCCGCTTATCCACTAGAGCAGTGGTTCTTAACCGGTAGTCCGCGGACCACTGGTAGTCCCTGGAGGCATTCCAAGTGGTCCGCGAAGACATCGTAATAAACAAGTGACGTGACGTGATGAGTCGAGTCAATACAACGCAAACGGCACACAGTGGGCGAGAAATCGACCTCCCCTTTTATAGGATTTTGAAAAAAAAAAAAAAAAAAAAAATGGTCCCTGACAAGACAGAAATTTGGTAAAATGGTCCCTCGTGACTTAAAGGTTAAGAACCACTGCACNAAAAAATGGTCCCTGACAAGACAGAAATTTGGTAAAATGGTCCCTCGTGACTTAAAGGTTAAGAACCACTGCACTAGAGGCAGCCTCGGGCCGAGCGGCTACCTCGTCCCGAGCGACAAAATGTGGCTCGGTCCGCGGCGACGAAATTAGCCTCGCAACGACCGAGCCTCAAGTTGAGAAAGCATCTCCTGAGCGGCTGTTCGACCCGAGGCTGCCTCCAGTGGAGATCCGGCTGAACGTGCACCAGCTCATGTTAGTGTAGGTTCTGAAGGCAGAGGCAGTTAGTGTAGGTTCTGAAGGCCGAGGCACTCAGTAAATGAAATCTAGCTTGTAGTTAGTAAACCAAACCATACATGTAATAATTACTTGGATGCAAATAAACGATATGAATTGAAATTTAATTTAATTTTTTATTTTATTAAAATAATATTCCCCTTTCTATCGCCTCAGCCAAAAAGTGAGTCAAGTATCACGCGGGTAAAAAATAGCCGACGACAGTGGCAACGGCAGCTGTCGCCACCTTTTGGCGGCAGCTGCAGTTGTAGCTTGTCGCACCCTGTACAAAAAGACAGCTACAAGCTGCAGCTAACGGCACCTATCGGTAGCATTCGTCGACGTGGCGACAGCTGCCGTCGACGAGTCGACAGCTGCCGCCAAAAGGTGTCTAGAGCTGCCGTTGCCACTGTCGTCCTACTATCCTACTAATATTATAAATGCGAAAGTTTGTGTGGATGTCTGGATGTTTGTTACTCTTTCAAGCAAAAACTACTAAACGGATTTTGATGAAACTTCACAGTATTTTATAACCCAGAATAACATGTAGGCTATAATTTATGACGATCTGTGACAAACGAAATTTCACGCGGGTGAAGCCGCGGGCAAAAGCTAGTCGGCTATGAGCCTCTCGTGTATAAGAAACCTCACCTGTGTTGTTGGGCGGCGGGCCCTCGTCGTCGGAGTCGGAGATGGTGATGACGGAGACGGCGGGCGACGGCGTGTCGCGGATGGTGGCGGGTTACAGTTATAGTTACCGTTAAGGTGGGCGGTGCTCCAGCCCAAGAGACTCCTCACCTGTGTTGTTGGGCGGCGGGCCCTCGTCGTCCGAGTCGGAGATGGTGATGACGGAGACGGCGGGCGACGGCGTGTCGCGGATGGTGGCGGGTTACAGTTATAGTTACCGTTAAGGTGGGCGGTGCTCCAGCCCAAGAGACTCCTCACCTGTGTTGTTGGGCGGCGGGCCCTCGTCGTCCGAGTCGGAGATGGTGATGACGGAGACGGCGGGCGACGGCGTGTCGCGGATGGTGGCGGGTTACAGTTATAGTTACCGTTAAGGTGGGCGGTGCTCCAGCCCAAGAGACTCCTCACCTGTGTTGTTGGGCGGCGGGCCCTCGTCGTCCGAGTCGGAGATGGTGATGACGGAGACGGCGGGCGACGGCGTGTCGCGGATGGTGGCGGGTTACAGTTATAGTTACCGTTAAGGTGGGCGGTGCTCCAGCCCAAGAGACTCCTCACCTGTGTTGTTGGGCGGCGGGCCCTCGTCGTCCGAGTCGGAGATGGTGATGACGGAGACGGCGGGCGACGGCGTGTCGCGGATGGTGGCGGGTTACAGTTATAGTTACCGTTAAGGTGGGCGGTGCTCCAGCCCAAGAGACTCCTCACCTGTGTTGTTGGGCGGCGGGCCCTCGTCGTCCGAGTCGGAGATGGTGATGACGGAGACGGCGGGCGACGGCGTGTCGCGGATGGTGGCGGGTTACAGTTATAGTTACCGTTAAGGTGGGCGGTGCTCCAGCCCAAGAGACTCCTCACCTGTGTTGTTGGGCGGCGGGCCCTCGTCGTCCGAGTCGGAGATGGTGATGACGGAGACGGCGGGCGACGGCGTGTCGCGGATGGTGATGGTGTGCGCGCCGCACGCCGGCGCCGGCGCCGCTTCCCACGCGCCCGCGCTACTGTTCACCGCTCGCGTGTTCCTGTGGTGATAAACCAATGCGTCAGAACAGCCAACAGTTGCGGCTCATTGGTAACGTTACTTTTTCCATCCAGAGGACAGGATTTTATGGAAAATCAGTCTTTCTCTAAGGTCAAGTTAGATAAACATGATAATTGTTGGTGGTAAATGCAATTTCATTCTATATTTGATTCTACTTTCAAGTAATTATTTCCTTCGGTGTCCAAATCCAAATCTCACAAAAAAACTATAAAACCACGGCAACAAAAAGTGTCAATCTTTGAAAACGCCGACAGAAAGTGTCAATTTTTAAACAAATAATTCTGATTAATATTGAACCATGACCACCAAAGTAATAAGTGAGATGCAGTTACAGATGAGGAGGAGCACGCCCGCATTCACTCACATTACGTCAAAGTCGTCGTCGTTGTCTCAAAGTGCGCGTGGACGCACAGGGTGACACACGGACCACAGAGCTCTATTCAACGCTGTGCTTTCGATTTGCTGCTTCACTTAAGAAGCATCGTTTGTGAATACGGGCGTTTTTAATAATAAATGTGACTCACGTGTGGTCGTGATGGTGGTGGCGGTGGCGGGACGGCGGCGTGCCCTCCTTGACGCGTTTCTTGACGGGCGACAGCTGAGTCGGCTCCTTCTTGCCGCCGCTGCTGGCCAGGCTACAACAAACACAACCGTATACGTTGACGACATGCTGCTAGCGGGACTAAGGCCCGTTTTCCACCAAAGCAGAGAGTTGTGCGAATAACCAATCAGCTCTGCCAACAAACCTCAGTGGTTTATGCCAATGCAATAAATTGTAATAATGTCTAAGAACTTTCTTTGTAAAATGATAAAAGAAAAATATCAGCTACGGTTCGGAAATCAAATTGGTCATTCAAACACATCTCTGCCTCCTAGACAAAATGCACTTTTTGATCGAATCGAAAATCGAATCCGTCAAAACTCCACACAAAAAAGGCCTTTCGACCACTTTTCGACTGGTTTGCATATAAATAAAGTGCACTTTGTCTAGACCCACTGGTCTCCTTTAGTAAAAAAAAAAAGCCTAAACTGATAACAGTAATTGGACGAGATGTTTTAATGAATAAGCTGGTCGGTATTAACCGGCACAGCTGGGTGATAAAATAACTCGTGTTCTTTGTTTACACTTCCAGCTAAACAAAATAATGTGCTTGTATTAGAAGTGAGTCCAGCAGTCGATGGATATCAATCAAACGATTCTCGCTTGAATTAGTTCGTAATATTCTTTATTGATCACATTAGTAAAGTTAAATGTCTTTTATATCATCAAATAAGTCCATAATTTGACTTCCAATGTGTTTTCTAAACAGGGACGTTAATAATTAAAAAAAAGAAAATTAGGAAATAGGACAAACTGTAAGTAATATTAAAAATAATAATAACCACCAAAACAACACGTATGTAGATTTTATAGTAAGTATTATACATGGTGCTAAATTAGTAATTTAGAAAGAAATAAACTGTACAATAGCTTAGCAACTAAAACTTTAGTTCTATGTTAGGATATCACAGGTGTCGCTACAAGGGAAAAAGGAATAAGCCCTTCAAGCCCCGAAAATTGAGACATAGAAATCAATGTTACGCGGTCTTATACGACCGCTTGGGGTTTGATGGGTTAACAACACAATAATATAGCAATTTAAAAGCATTAATATGTATAGAGCACCTGTATTGATGTGTTTGGTGGTGCGGCTGATAGTGCGGCACTGCGCTCGCCTGCTGCTTAGTCGATCTGTTGACAACCCTCGCATTGTTACATCATTCATGTTAGTTATCATTTTTATGGTGACAATAGTTCTGTTTTGTAAAGGATTTCTTATGATAAAATAGTAAATGGAATAGTGATTTATACATATAGAAGTTATTATCCTTTAGTGAATTCGAGTCTAAATGACGGAGAACGATATTTAATTTTGTCCGGTTCGAACTTATATGCTAAGGTTTATATAACAAAATATACGTTCCTGTTGCTTTTATATCGGTAAGGAGGCAAAGTTGCTATAGCAGGTCAAACTGCTACAAAATGTCTGCTTGATTAAAAATTAATGAGGCGATAGTGCTTCATTAATTGGACTTTATGCTTATCAGCATAAGCGAGTTTCACAGGACAGAACTAAGATTTCATCTTGTAATACGGAGTTAGTATAATTGTTGGGCTGTCCAAATCGATACAAATAAAAATACCCACAAATATCATCATAATATGTCTTGTTAAGACAGCGATAATTGCGCGGTTACCGATCAATTCTTGTACATTTGCATAAAATCTTAACCGCACGGTTACCGCCTCAGTTGTCAATGAGAACCATCCAGAAACCGCGTGGTTATTACTGTGTAACCTTAGATTAATAAAGCCTAGATGGATAGTCTTCATACAAACGCTTCGTCAAGAGTGAGGCAAAAATCTTATGTCATTAGTGTCCATTTTGTTGGGGAGTGTGGACAGTGAAGGCGATTTCCCCGAAAGTAGGGAAATTTTTAATACGTTTTTAATTATGTTATAATTAACAAAAATAAAACGCATCATGTACTTTCTTATTTATTGAATTCAAAGTACCTACCTAATTACAATAAGATAAATCGACTAAAAGTATCGATTTCATAAAAAAAGGAAGTGTATTTGCACGGCTAACAATTGGGAAATAATTTTTCTTGTTACTGGTATCATTCCCGTATTTAATTTTCGAAAGCTAAATTCAAGCAAAATACGCGTCGAATCGTAGTACTTACTTATGAAATGTAACACTGGTCGCTTTCTTTCGTTTTTCTTATGTATTTAGACACCCTTTCACAGCACAAACCGTCATAATTAATTAAAATTCATCGGACGTGTTTACCAATTTTTCACTTTGACAGTTCATGTGACGTTTACGGCTCACTAAAAGCTACCTCACCTTTCGTGCACTGACTATCTAGGCTTTATTAATCTAAGTGTGTAACAAGGCCTGTTCATCTCCGCGAGTTTACATCGAAAACAAAACACGCACGATGGCCCACCTACAAGATACTATTCGACAAGGCCTCACATACGAGCGAACATTGACTCACGAACGCGTATTCTTGTGTATGATGGAAGAAAATAAAGAAAATGGTGTACTAAATACTGCGCAGTATATAATTGCCTAAATAATAATAAAAATACAGAATGTACTTTTTTAAGTTGCCTCAAGACACTGAGAGGTAAATAAGTAGTTAATATAATTTATGATAATTCATGCTAAATCATGTATTTCCTCCGCCATTTTTCGCAGTTTGGCACCTCACGTCACATCATTTTACCGAAGTCAGCCCTATAGCTTCGGCGCAGTGCCGATCACTGACGTTTGTCAACAAAATGGTGCTTGACTCTTGAGACAGGCTAAATTACACGATATTGTTAATGACATTGAGCATACATTTTTTTAAATACCTTCGCGAAGTAAAACTTCTGTACGTAGTACTTATTATTATTCTGTGGTATAACGAACAAGTATATAAAATGTGGGCAAGCCAACGTACCTCTTGTGCGTGTGGTGGTGCTGGTGGTGCGGCGCGGGCGCGGGCGCGTGGTGCGCGTGGTGGTGGAACTCCCACACGTCGGGCTCCAGCGGCGCCGGCTCCACGATCAGCGGCGCGCGCCACTCGCCCACGTGCTCGCCCACGCCCACGCCCACGCCGCCCACGCCGTGCTGGTGGTGGGCGGCTGCTGCTGCTGCCGCTGCCGCTGCTAGCTGCTGCACCTGGGAATTTAAATAAATAAATAAATATCCTTGGACATTTTACAATGCGCTTCTAGTCCCAAACTGAGCACAGCTTGTACTATGGGTACTAGACAACGGACATAAACATACTTAAATACTTTTTTTTTTGTAAATACATACTTATTATACATAGAAAACACCCAGTCCAATACAAACTGAGCGCTGCTTCTTCTCAGCACTGGCCCATTTATTGTCCCGAAGCAGTGGTAGGGTTAATATTGGGACGTGTAAAAGTGCTTTCTAAAAGCCTATTTCCAAAAATAAATGAATTTTATGAATTTTAATTTTTAAACAAATATGTTCATGCACACAAATGTTTGTACTGTGCGGGAATCGAACCCGCTACCCCCGGAATAGTAGTCCGTTTCGAACCACTACACCAAACGGCCGACTAAATTATTATTCGTTCTTAACATGTCTTACCAACAACACCCACAAAAGATCAAGTGTTTCAGACATCGTAAAATTCTACTAAAATCTATAATATAGTAACTAGATTGTCGAAAAAGTCCCAAGACGAGACAATATTTCCAAAACACAAATACACTTTTTAAATCCTACTAATATCCTACTAATCCTACTATTATTATAAATACGAAAGTTTGTGTGGATGTCTGGGTGTTTGTTACTCTTTCACGCAAAATCTACTGAACGCATTTTATTGAAACTTTACAGATTTATTGTTTATAACCCAGATTAACATATAGGCTATAATTTATAACGATCTGTGACAAACTAAATTTCACGCAGGTGAAGCCGCGGGCAAAAGCTAGTACATAATAAAATTATATCTTTTTATGTCAATATAATGCATCATCAATATACCAGCTATGTTCGGCTTTAAACCAAACGTATAACTGAAACTGATGGCTCGCTCCAGTTTCTTTGCTAGCGGCCTATGACATCAATGTTATTAGACTAAATATCACACTGCAACTACTAGCTGCCATCTGCTAATTAAAGTGACTAGTAGCTTTCCGTTAGGCCAGCGTCAGGAGTGTATATCAAATTCTCCATTTACCTCTGGTAAATAATCGTACATACACCTATACTGCAGATTAAATGACCCGATAATGATGATGAAATCTAGTTTTAATGAAGAGGCAATGTCTACCTGATAAACCGGCTGGCGTAGTATGGAGTAATAGTGGCTTACCTGCCGATGATGTATCTTATCGATGATTTTAAACGACATATTATGAGCCAATAGCGTAAAATCGATAAAAGTTTATCGCGGAGCGCATCTTAGCCCTGCCGTTATAAGCCGACTGACACTATATGGGGGAATATATCCGTACCTGGTAAGCCGGCTGGCACAGTATGGACGACACGAACTGGTGCGGGAAGGGCTCGGCCGCGCGCGTGGCGTACTGCCGCGCGCCGCCCACCGCCACGCGCCCGCCCTGGTACAGCTGGTACTGTGGGAGACAATGCTAAGTTAGTACACATGTTGGTTGTCTTATGACTGGGGCAATTTTGAGTTTCTGTAATTTTTTTTTATAATTCAACACGAGGATGCTCTTGGCATGTATCTCACCTGATAGCAAGTGATGATCAGGCCGAAGGTGGAAGCGAGCTTCATCCGGAATCCTCAACCAAGGAGGAACTGGCTATCTTACCTCTAACTGTCGGAACACAACAATGTTGTTAACATTGTTGTTATGGCGACAGACTTAGGTAAGATGGTGGTAGCTAGCCAGGTGGACTTAGAACAAGCCCTACCACCAACCAAACCGAACAGAAAAATCTGCCCCCACTGGGAATCGAACCCGGGACCTCTGCGTCTGAAGCAGGTGGTCTTACCACTAGACCACAGAGACGGTTAAATCCTAAATCCTAGCTATACAAGAGTCGCAGTGGGGAAACGAGAGAAAGGAACAGACCCGTTTATGACGACTGAATCCTACTAATATCCTACTAATATTATAAATGCGAAAGTTTGGATGTCTGGATGTTTATTACTCTTTCACGCAAAAACTGCTGAATGGATTTTGATGAAACTTTACAGTATTATTGTTTATAACCCAGATTAACAAGTATAATTTATGACGATCTAAATTTCACGCGGGTGAAGCCGTGGGCAAAAGCTAGTAATAAATAATAATGATTTTAATAAAACATACACACTAAGCTGAGCTAACCATAAAGGATGTAGGACATTTATCAACCTGGAAAGAGATCGGAACCGTATCAACTCAAGGTCAGTATTTTTTGTATGAAACTTCATACTGCAATGCACACTTATAGTTCCAAAATACTGAACTGTCCTATGCATGACATTGACAGTGGGGCGCTACCGTCAATACCGGATCGCTGGTTCCGATTTTTGCCATGTTGGAAACCATACAGTTGAACGATGGTAGCGCCCCCCTGTCATTGAGTTTGGTGGGACAGTTCAGCGTGGGTCATCTCTATCCGCAACCGTAACGTAACCCTGACGGTTGACAGCGCGCGAAAAGGCGATACGGTGTTGATCCCTTTCAGAGTTGATATAGTTCCAAAATACTGAACTGTCCTATCCATGACATTGACAGTGGGGCGCCACCGTCAATACCGGATCGCTGGTTCCGATTTTTGCCATGTTGGAAACCATATAGTTGAACGATGGTAGCGCCCCGCTGTCATTGAGTTTGGTGGGACAGTTCAGCGTGGGTCATCTATAAGTGTATTATGATCACAGATCAGAAAAACTAATGGGAGATATGACAAGGGGGCGGGGCCGGTGTCGCAGCAATATGCCCATAAACAGGGTGAAGGGAGCACTCACCAGGTTGTCATAGGGCGCCGCGCGGAGCCGCTGCTGGTTGATGGTAAGCGCGAGGTGGTGCGCAGACGGCGGCGCCGGCGCCACCACCGACCCCACGTATTCGCCGGTGCCTACGCCTCCCACGCCGCCGCCGGAGCGCCGGCACACCTGAACACAAATACAGGGTCAATGATATTATAGAACTATAGATATGTTACCTTCATAGAAATTACGATTATAATCCGTGCCGAGCTATTTCAAATTGCACACATTGACAAATGTAACTGATAAGTGAAACAAAAGATACGAAATAGCAGGCAAATGAAAGAGATAGCTATAGTTTTAACGATTCTGCACTAACTAATCTATGTCCGCAGTGCACGCATCCTTATCGCTCTAACGTCAAAACAAGATTGCTTTCTCTTTCTTAACTTGAACATGGCGCATGGCGTCTTGATTGTTTGCATAAATAATTGAAAATATAAATACTAAATAATTTTGCATAATCACATGTGGTAAGAGATCCATTGTATTTTGTTTACTTTAGAGTCATAATTGGTACACTTTCGAAACACACACGATGGCATTTTTTATTTATTTTGGTAAGAACACAGGAACTTACGGTGTGGTACGCACGCGATTGCGCACGACGCAGGCCACACGAAGACTAAACACAAAACGTCCCAATTGGGACGTATTTGAGTATTCACAGCGCGAGCGCTTATAACATATCTGCTTTTGTTTTTATATAATATCATTGTACAGGGTTAACTGGAGAACTTTACGTACTATCGGCCACAGTTCCAGCTACCCGTTTCCTGTCATGTCGTCTCGTTCTATTTTATTTTATTTTATTATAACAAACAATTGTACAATTCAGATATGCAGTAAAGTTATAACATCGACATTTAGTTAATGTACAACCCGCACCGCTATCCTACAAACATGCTTTGCCTCTTTGCACTACTAGCTGATTTATGAACAGAAATGAACAGAACAATCCAATCTATCGCAATGAATCGCCATTTTATGAGAGCGAGAGAAAAAACGGAAATAGGTACCTGGAACTCAGACAGTACCATACTCGTACAATCCATTACCCGGTTTTGAAATTGAGATTTTTAGCGAAAGTTTATCGTCCACTTAAATCTGCTTATATCAATGTAACTGACATAAGATAATTCTGAATAGAACAATTTATAAGTTTGGGCTGGAAACGAAACCTCACTCTAAACGATTGTGAAGTTCACGGTTTACGAGACATCATTATAAGGCCATTGAAAAAGTAGCTTTAAAATTCTGACAAAAAAGAATGTTTGCCAGACCCCAGAGAAATAAAATTTGCTTTCAAGGCTAACTGACTTTCAGAAAAATCATTCAGCTGCATTAAAAACATGATTGAAGTCACAAAACAATATGTCATCAATTTTTCCCGATTCAAGACAAAAAATGTTTTCTACGTAGTTCATAAGTAGAAGGGCATGATAAGATAGAGACTGGTATAAACTTAATGCTTAACAATGATAGCAATCGTGAAAAAGAGCTATAAAAAAACTCACCTCCATCATTTGTACTGAAGCCTTGACATTATTGCAGTGGGCATAGTCGACAAGGTGAGCTAGCGTCACGAAAGCGTGGTTCAGCGCCTCGCCCGGGGTTATTCGTCTTTCCTGCAAAAATTAATGACGTCAGCAATAACCTAACACCATACCGTCCTCCCTCCTTCTTTCTGACCTTGTCGAAGCGTGGTCACAGCATAAGCTCCAAAGCTTGCTACTCTTTGCATATCTTCATTCGTTGGGTTTTTATGGCGGTCAAGCTGTAGATCCTGGCTACACAGGAGTTGCAGCGGTGGGAACGAGATGTGGGAATAGTCCCGTACTCTTTGCATGTGATGTAGCCATAATATTAATATTAGATTGGATGGCTAAGACCTGAATTCAGATAATAATTTCCAAAATTTTACAAACAAGAAAAAATTAACGTTAAAAATACTAAGCTTAACAAAATACTAACTCAATAAAGCACTAAGCTTCTATTTTACATAGGATATTGAAAAGTAATGAACATACCTGGTCCATAGTGAGCATCCTTTTGAGTAGGTCAATGAATTCCCTCCTGTCTGCTTTCTCGGCCAATAGCTGGCCACCTTCAAGATCTGTTGGTACATTAACCTGTAGAAACAAATATTCAACATAAATCATCAAATATTTACAACGTGTATTTACTTTTTACAACTGAAATATGTAGCTACAAGTGTGTGTCAAATTCTGATACCTCAACACAACCCACACGACAGAAAACTCATATAAATTATTGGCCAGTATTATTTTATTCATCTACTACTAGCTGACCCGGCGAACTTTGTTCCGCCTTAATGGCAATAAATAAGCAGACTTTTTTTTTATTTCGAACGGGATAAAAAGTATCCTATGTCCTTCTCCTGGCTCTAGGGAGGTACCCTGACAATTTTCAGCTAAATCGGTTCAGCCGTTCTCGAGTTATAAGCGAAGTAACTAACACGACTTTCTTTTATATATATAGATAGATATATTTTATTCATATACATAAACCATGGGCTTCCAATCCAGATACTATTTAATAAATAGAAGAAGCAATTATAAGAATTTGCCAAAGGAGATGACCAACCTACTCTTCCCGTGGATATCGTAAGAGGCAACTAAGACACAAGTATACAAACAACACGCCTCGCCAACCCGTTTAGCCAGAGCATAGGGACTGTAGGCCAAATCGTACCTTTTTCCTCCGTAAATTAATGGAATCAACACAAGCCCTAAAAGATTTGATGGAAATAAATCTATCCTAATATTATAAAGAGGTAAAGTTTGTGTGTTTGTATATTTGTTAATTGTAAGGGGTAATCTCGGGATCTACTGATCCGATCTTAAAAATTCTTTCACCAATAGAAAGCCACATTATTGCTGAGTGTCATAGGGTAAAAATTCCACGCGGGCGAAGCCGCGGGCGGAAAGTTAGTAACTAATGTAAAGGGAGAGACTAACCTGTCCAATGTCGTCGAGGCAGTTAAAGATGTACTTCCTAGCCTCCTTGCTCTTGATGCCGGTCTCGAGCTCGTGCTCCTCGGGCGTCTTCAGCCGCCAGAACGGGTACGTGCTGTCCACGTCACGGTAGAAAAACTTGGCCGTCTTGCTCGCGCTGCAATAAATGCGACGTTATGCTTCTTATACACGCTAAGGAATATTACAACCCGTTCGCGGTAAGTTTGCCGGTCCGTGGAATGCGCGTCTCCTCCCCCAACCGCGATTAAACGCAATTAATGTGTCTTATTTTACGCAAATGCACATTTTTTTTATCAATAATAATAAAAAAAATATTTTAAATATAGTTTGTTATAGTTATAGACGCTTCCCTTCGAGTGATGTCATATCGCCAGCGGCAAACTTATCGCGAACGGATAGTACCGTGTCTGTCAAGACAAGACAAGAATTTCGTCGGACCTATCTACGAAAATTCCTCAAACAGTGCCCGCCCGCCGCGGGTCATATCTAGCGAAGACAAGAATTATTTCTTGGTCAGCGCCGGAGCGATGTACACGGTTCGTGTGTAGAAACGACACTAATTCTTGCGTATGCCTCGGCGACTTTTCGAATTTCGTACGCGTGTACATGCGGCCTTATTGCCAATGCAATAGGATATTATGATTGTATTGATGTTTCCTGCACATCACTTTACACTGAATAAACTTCACTATCAACAGGGAAGGATGGCAATAAGTATATTAAAGATTCTAATTAAGATTGTACATTTTTTAACTTATGACGGTAGATTCGAATTAGAATTTTTATGTAAATGTTGAGAAATAAACTAATTTCACTTTTCACTAAAAATCAGCTTTGATTTTCTGCTTATGACGTGGCCTGTTCGAAAGTGAGAGACGTTATGAAGAACTTTGAGCAATCAGCAAGCTCGCCCGCGCCGGTGACTAAAAAGTGCGGCAAACGGAAGTAAGTCAAAACAGCTCCTAATAATAATTTTATAATCGCGGAAATGACGGCAATAACAGCTAGAGTGGAAATAGGCATATCTCTCACCAGATGTAGTGTATTAATTTTAAGTTTTATTATTTGTTGAATTTAAAAAATAATTACGTATTAAAGTTTAACCTATGTAATTAACAAAATAATAATAATTTAATATTCTCATAATATTCAAATTGGGCATTTGATGAGATGAAGACTACGTGTTAAACAAGCTCTATCTATCACCGAAAAGAAGAAGGGAAAAGAGCACCCATATGCCACGTGGTGGACAACCGTTTCAAGGGTTATAGAACAAGTTTAAATCAATGATCAGACAACCCAAGACATTGTCTTGGCCTTTGAACGAGGAAGGAAAACCCCAAATGCCCCCGCGTGTTTCGTTGACCGCCTGCTTACAAGGTCAAGCGTCTATATAGCACATTGCGCGCACTCATATTCCGAAGGAATATTAACTTTATGGAAAGGCACAGAAGAATAAAAAGACGAATATTTTAATTTGTCACCTGTTGAGCATGTGCTCGGTGGGCAGCCCCTGCGTCTGCGAGATGTAGCGGATCTGGTCGTACTCCGACGAGCCGGGGTACAGCGGCCAGCCCAGGAACAGCTCGGCCACGACGCAGCCCAGGGACCACATGTCGATCGCCTCGCAGAACGCCAGCCCCAGGATTATTTCTGGTGCTCTGTAATCAAAATAACACGGTTATAGTTTCTGTGAGATGGAAAAATGTAATTTATTGCGATTCAAAACTGACAATGAACTGCCTCAGTGACCTCAACGTTTTCTTCACTTTGAAATCAGAGTTATGTTTATCATCATAAACAATTCGGTGTCAGTTAGAGATACTTATGCCCGTTTTCACCATCAATCCCTAACTTTTGAGTGACCCCTATGATAACATATAACAGGAATTTGGTTTTCATAGGGGTCACTTAAAAATTAGGGATTAACTGTGAAAACGGGCATAAATAATCTAGTCTAAAGTGACGATGTGGGAGGGATAACATGTGACAAAAAAACAAACGGGTGTAACAAACGGCTGTCACGGTACACAGTACACAAAGCGCATCTGAAGTCTCGCTGACGTGTGACGTCACACCCTGCACCACAAAAGCTTTCTCAGCTATCAAGATCCAGTATAGAGGGCACAATGGGTTTGCAGACTAGACTTGTGACGTCACACATTCAGGGTGTATTGAGATCGATGGGCTGATGATATTATATACAATAGATTGCATACCAACATGTCCCATATCGGGATTTTCGGTGATGTAACCACAACCTTTTTTGAGGACTGGATCCGCGCCTGTCAGTACCAGCTATACCAGCAGTAAGTACTACAATGAAATGTAAAAAACACTCCATGACGTCACCTATAGTATCTGCTCTGCAGGTAGGTGTTGCAGACGGCCTTGCTGACGTGGCTGGCGCTGCCAAAGTCGATGACCTTGACGCGGTAGGGCTGCCGCGCCGGCTCCACCAGCATTATGTTCTCCGGCTTCAGGTCCGCGTGGATGAGGCCCAGTTGCTGTGGACAGGCGAGTGAAGGGTTAAAAACAAATTAACAAAGTATAGATGCGAAACAAGTGACGACAAAAGAAGAATACATTTGTTTTGGAATCTCCTTTCTAAAGCGTTTGTTAGTCGTATACCTCGAAATCAAAAAATCCTTGTAGCTTTTCACCTATTCGCATTTCGCCGCGATATCAAAATTTCTGAATAGATTTTTATTCTTGTAGTATAATTTTTGATCAAAAATCAAAATCAAAAATATTTATTCAGTTTAGACCACAAGTGGCACTTATGAACGTCGTATGACGATCGCTAATTACAATTGTCTAAAAAATTCATAGTAGATTTACTTTCCTGCCTGTCTTCACTGTAGTCGCTTTTCACCTTGATAGATATTTGTTTGTAATGCATTATTACATATCGCGATATTTCCTTTAAAAGCACTATACCTACCTACCTAATTTGTTACTGTTGTAAAAATTTATTCAAAATATATGCGGCTTAATAAATAGGCTATTGATAATACATGCTACATCAAAATTTGCTTGTTGTAAAAATCTGTTAAAAATATATGCTAGTAACAAAATATACTACCGATATTACACGCTACAATAAAAAACGCTATCGCGGCGAAATGCGAATAGGTGAAAAGCTACAAGGATTTTTTGATTTCGAGGTATACGACTAACAAACGTTTCTAAGTTACATTATGTTTTCTATTTTTAGGTCAGTTAACGGAGCCAGTATGGGATCGGCACGGGAGAGGGGTGACTTTGCTATATTATAGTGTGACAGAGCATACAAATCTGAACATCTGAATTTTTGGCTATAACAAAAACACCCCTGCCGCTCTTATACCTCAGGCACTGACTTAGATAACTGCTAGACCTTAAAATACAAGCATCGATATAGTTGGAAACTGACATTGAACTGTCTCAGTGACCTCAACGTTTTCTTCACTTTGGAATCAAAGTTCTAGGTTTATCATCATAAACAATTCGATGTCAGTTCATCAACATTATTTCAGTTACAAGGACGGCTGCTGAACATAGGCCTCCCCCAAATATCCAGATTGGCCGGTTGGTAGCAGCCTGCATCGAGTGCCTTCCTTCCTGACGTCGTTCCTACTTCCTGCCTTAATGACGACGTAAGACATATTGTGGGTAGGCCCTCCACTAGGTGGACCGACGATCTGGTGAAGATCGCAGAAGATGCCTGGATGCGGTCGGCGCAGTGGGGTTACTTTGAAAAATGTTATCTGAAGTTTTTAATATTGACATCCCTCTCATGCAAAGCGAGATGCCAGCTTGAGCGAGAGTGACAGTAGTTTCGGAGTAGCCTTGCAGGACTGGTCGTGGTGGAAACCCTTGGGGAAGGCCTTTGTCCAGCAGTGGACGTCATTTGGCATCACGAACGAGATGCGAAAATCGTTCTTATGCTGATGAGAATAACGTACCTTCAGTTTGAGCAGCGCGGTCAGCACCTGCTGCAGTATCGGCCTAATGTATTTCAGCGGCAGCGGCGAGAACTTGTTCTGCTTGAGGAAGTCATACAGGTTCTGCTCCAGCATCTCGAACACGAGACACGTGTGCGAGCGATGCTGGAAGCACTCGTACGCGCGGACGAAGTTGAACTCGTCCGCCGACTCTTGCGACAAGCGGGAGAGGATGGACACCTGAGGACAAACATAACGATTCGGTTAGATTATTTGAATCATTTGCTGCCAGCAGGGACAGGCAGTATTAAGGCCCAAAATCTGCCATCCGTTACTGTAAAGTTTGAAGAGCTGAACCCTCGATTAATTCTGAGATAGAACACGAATTTTTTTTTTTTTGTAAATAAGACTGCAAATGTAATGTTTTTTTTTATTTTCATATCAGCAAATAATTCCGAAATTAGTTGTGGCGTCCGTTGTTTGCCATGTCGGTAGCAAAAAGTGTCTACGTTTGTGGAGTCTTTTCTAGATAAGTATTTAGATTACATTTATTTATAATGTAAAAGGATATTATATTTCTCCATGGAGCATGTATGCATGCATCTAACTCTAGAAGGAAGTTGTAAAATTCGACAAAAACTGACATTAAACTGTCTCAGTGACCTCAACGTTATCTTCATACAAGAATCAAGAGTTAGGTATATCATCATAGACAATTCGCTGTCAATTATTTAGATGCTATATTTATATTTACTTATTTTTTTGAAAATTGAAAATACCTTAATGCCTAAGGTGGGAATCGAACCCACAACCCTTCGTTTGACGTCGACTGCTCTGAACCATCTGAGCTACTTAGGCATTAATGTGAACCCGTCGAAATTTTCAAGTGTAGTAACCGCTTTTTTACGGCCAGCGTTTTTCATTTTGAATAATAAAAACAATTTTTAAATGAAAATTTAATTAGAGATAAGCTTATCCCTAAATAAATAGGTATTTTTTATTTACATTGCACGGTTGTACTTGCATACATGCTCCACTGGCATTGACCCATCGTCAATATACAAAGAATCGTACGATACGATATTGTTTTTAAGTAGACAAACACAATAACATCTATGAAAAACATCTGTATTTATTATTTTATTTCTCTCAGCAGTACAGTAATCAAGGTAAGCCAAAGAATGGTTGTTGCGCCTTCCGAGTAAGGTCACCGCGTTGCACATTAGTGAAGGCGTGATAGGAAACACGACTTAATACGGAACTAGTCATTATAATTATTGACAGACATTATTTTAAATGCACGCGTAAAATGGATAGTAAAGTAAATAAATGGTTACGATTTTCTAGCAAATTTTTAACAGTAATGGATAAAAAAATGAAGTAATAAACAGTCCTCGACTGCGAAAAAAAAATGCCCTACTCGGTATTCGAATCCGGCAGCTGCCATTGTAATTCAGTACGCGAACCACAACAACCATACCAGATTACAAATACTTTACATTAATCATTTGATAAAGGTGCTTTAGTATGACAGCAAGTTTACGATAAACAACAGTTTTGTTTCTATAACAACGCGACATGCAGTCTAACGACTAGAAAACATTGTTTGTCAGTCTATTAACATTCCTTAGCACAAAACACAGGTACGTTGCATATCAGACTATACATTTCTGTTGGAAAATCAACCCTACTCCAACGACATAAGATGCTCTGTGATTACCTTGATGTGCCGCCGTCCTATGGCCTGTAATTACAGGAAAGTTCGGCCATTAACCCATGACGTTGAACTTATGCTAATTAGTTAGTGAACTAGGCGAAACATTTCAAATGTCACGCAAATAACTTCCATAGAACTATGCCCGTGGACATATTTCGACATGCAATGTGATTTGAATCATGGTTGCTAGTGACCATGTTATCATTCGAATTTGAACATAGACAAACCATTGTTTTATCTATTGTTTTGGTATGGTGAAATTTGGATTTCACTATGAATGAGGCGTTAATAAAAGAGTATTATCTTATGGGTTCATCATGACACCGAGTAAATATCATATTTGAGAAATAGTGCTATGAAAAATTCGGATCAGCCAAACAGCTTAGAATAAACATTGAACTTGTAGGATAAAGGTTGAGGGAATACGGGAATAAAAAGTTAATACATCAACTAGGCAAACTCATTTTCAGCATACAGGTTATTAAAGGGACATAGAAGTCACCTATACAATATCTTATGCCTTGTTTAAATAATATGCCAGGTTGTTTAACGAACAGTCTACACGTGTACACCGTTTAATCACCACATTGAAAACATTAATGACGTCATAGTGTTTTTCAGCCGTTCTCGGATTCTTTTCAGTGTCCAATCTTTGCATCGGTTTATTTGAATTGGTTTGAATAACAAAGGCTGGCGTCATGGCTCCATTTGTGCAAACTCGGGCGCAAGATAACATCTGCAATGTTCTGAATTGAAAAGATAATTTAACTTATCAACAAGCAAAATGTAATGCTCACTAAGGTTCTTTCTAGCCTCGCCTCGATTCAAGAAGAAGAAATATCAAATGATAAATACGATTTGATCTAAACATCTAAGCAAAGTAAATGAAACAACCCAGGGACTTTTGCTTAGTGACATTCTTCTTTATCAATGCGCAACAACTACAACTTCTTTATCTGTGTTCAAGAGTTGTGGATGCTCTATCAGACATTTTCATCCCGGATTCCCTCCCAACATCCCACTAAACACGACCTTTATTTATCACAAAAGCAATCCATTAGCGTTTACTACATCTGGCCCAGAGCTGCGCAGTCATAACCGAGCGCGGCGCGGACGCCACAATTCGCAGTAAAGTTAACGCCGGTCGCAAACTACCCGTTTAATTGTACCTCCGAGACGTTAACTACTCAAGAGCCCATATAAATTGGTATGTTCGAGCCAAAAATCAGGTCGGCTAGTATAATACCAGTGGAATGGGCAGGACTATCAAGTTGTAAGCCTATGACAGTACGTCGCGTAACTCGTTGGTTTATTACAATGCATAGCGACTCGCGGTCATATATTGCGTTGCGATGTGAGACAGTCACTAGTTAAATGTTACATTAAAATTGACCGAAATTATAAGGAGAAAATTCTACACTATCTATCGGAGTGGCGTTTATTAGTGCATTCCTGAATAACACACAAAGTTTAGTAGATTCTCTTTTACTCAATCGCATACACTATTTACCAGATGTTTAACCTGCTAGCATAAAAAATACAGTGAAGAATCGCGGAAATGCTATAATGAAATGCCAATATTGTGTTCGCACTTCATTGCATTTTTCCTCTCGAAGAAAACTATTTCTGATATTAAAGCAGCAGCGTAAATAAATTCTCTACATTTTAATATGCATTCTTGTATTCTATTTCTAAGATTTATTTTAGAGGCATAGTCATATTCAGTCATCAATATAAATTGATTTGACGTGAAAGTTTGAGTGTTTGTTTATTCGGATAGCTGTTGGCGTTGACTGTATAAATATAAGATAGAGTGGATTGTTGGGTTTTTATAAAGGTCTAGCCGGCGAGTGACGGCACTCCAGAAGGTAAACACAAACGTTGGAGCCGCGCCAACGGCCGATAATGGATCGAGCTAACTGCTTCTGGGAACCACTCCGAGGACTAACCTGCCTTTCATTAATTACTAAATATACCTTTTTGTATCAAATCTGGCAACGGAACAAGACCTTTTGGGTAATAGAAATAGCGGTTCACTCAGTCAGTACCTGAGAAATAGGAACGGGAGGGGTAACATTGACATATTATGACATGACAGAGCATACAAATCTGAAGCATATCTGAAGCATATCTGAAATCACAAAATAAATAATAATAAATCCTTGGACATTTTACACTGCGCTTCTAGTCCCAAACTGAGCAAAGCTTGTACTATGGGTACTAGACAACGGATATAAACATACTTAAATACTTTTTTTTGTAAATACATACCATACATATTATACATAGAAAACACCCTCTTGTGCCGCTCCCATGCCTCAGACAATGACTGAGTAAAGCGCTAGGGCCTATACTACCACCCAAAAGGCTTCGAACAACTATAAATACATTTCCAGCGAGTAATTGTATTTTGCTTATCAGAATTGTATTGTAAGAAGAAAGTAAGAACCAATGGCACCAATCCCTTTTAAATAAATGAATAGAAAGTATCCCTATAAATAGGCACGACACAAATAGGCACATTCTGGCACTAGTACAAATGTTTGTTGTAATCTGGACTGGATCATAACTCAGTAGTCATAACTTTTATTTATTACAGTACAACATAATTACTTTTATATGATTTGCTCAGGCCGTCTGACAAATTAATTTTAGTACAGTGGTGGTAAATTATTATTTTGGATTATTTTCAATGACCGGTCAATTTCGTACTTGACAGCATTAATTCTTTAACTTTTCATTGTCCTTTGTTATTTACTTAGGAAAGAAAAGCCACAAATACACGCGCGAATGACGCAACATAGTGGGTCATGATAAGAACTAAAATCTTTTTTGATCCAGCTAGAGTATAATCAGCTATTATGCTGAAAAATTGCGTGTCTCTTAAACTGAATAAAACATAACTAGATCGATTGTTCGAAATCAAATTTCCGAGTCAAATATTGAACAGCATGATCCTGGCGCGGCCTTGTTTACGCCGTATTTATAGGAACGTCAACAAGGATAAACGCTACTGCGTACTGCGCATTAATTCAAATTAATTTATAAATTCAGAACGTGGAACCGGGTCAGATATATAGAGTTGTAAGAAAATCGAATCTTTTTAGTCTTCATTTCTAGACTTGAGTCTATTTTCAAGACTAGGACTCGTTAGTCACATGAATCCGAATCCTTTGAGTCTTCTCAGTCCTTTTAAGTCCTTTTCGAGTATTTTAAGTTCGTCGAGTTCTTTTTATTTACTTCAAACTACAGGTATGGATTTAGGCCTCGGTCATGAGTTCTTTTTGGCATGTCTAGTCTTTTTACAAGACTAAAAATTCTGACAGACTTGACTCTGAATTCTGATTGACTTGAAATAGAATTCTGAAAGCTCTTAGTTTTATTTAAGACTCGAGTCTTCAAAAATAGCTCAAGTTTTATTAAATAAGACTCGAAGACTTGAGTTTCTTACAACACTAGTCAGATACGATCCTATAAAATGGAGGTCGTCTTCGTAAGGTGAGGGACGTTATGACCACCTTGGTATCCAGTGTTGCTAGAAACTTCCACATAATGTCTCGTTAATAGAAAATGAGGTAGGTATAGCTTGGAAATGTAGTCTGCACTGAGGAGGTCTGAATAAAATATTATGTTGATTCTTTAACATTTGAATCTCTGTTGAGAATTTTAGATCATATTAAGAGTTCATGCCTACTTTCGTACATTGTTAAAACTTTGAATTTTAGTAAATAAATCAGTATGAAACGTTATATTAAGACAGCAAGATCTACTAAACCTGGGTAGAGACAGTCAGTGATGGCTCCCGACTTTAATTAACTCTATATTTTTAGGTAAAAGCAATTTAAAATCACGCGCGTGACTTGGGGTAACATAATTTTAATGAGTTTAGTAATTTGTTCCAAGCAATTATACGCCCGTATAAACAAACGTTACTATGAGGTTTTACAGTGCGCGTGGACGCACAGGGTGACACACGAACCAATCACAGAGCTCTATTCAACGCTGTGCGTTCGAATTGCTGCTTTGTGTGCTTAAGTGAAGTCGTGTGAAGTGAAGACGGGTAGTCTCAGAAAATATACACAACTATATTTCGTTTACCTATTTCATGGTCAATTATTATTTTTATGAAAAGGAAGTCCATCAACATCAATAAGTGTCATCAGAATTTCATTTTGGTAATAAAATCGAAAAACTGACAGCTGAAATTCATTTTAGCGATTTTAATAAGAAACTCGATAATATCACTATAGAGATTAGAGACGTCTGTATTCGTGAAAATATTTTGAATATTTATGTTTTAGCCAGAAATTATAACGTGTTTTCAACAAGTATTACTAATGAACCAATTAACCGTGGTGTCAATTTTCAAGTTTTATAACATTCATTATGATTATTTTTATACTGGAAAACAAGAGCCTGAGTGGCGAAAGAAATGGTGAACCATTTGCTGAATTAGACTTGATGTTCTATAAAATTAAATTAAAAATCGGTGGTCTGCGCCTAGGCTAAGGAGTTAGTTCCAGTCCTGACCTCGTATCCTAGTTTTAAAATAACTTGAACAAGATATGAAACGCGACACTTAATGCTATAAACCAGTGAAAGGAGGACTCACCTCAATCTGCCCCTGGCGAGCATAGCTGGGGTGGTTCTTGAGGATCTTGATGGCGACTATCTCATTGGTGCCCTTCTTCCAGCATTTCACCACCTGCCCGAAGGTGCCTCGCCCGAGGAACTCCAACACCTCGTACCTGGAATACCAGGCGTTATGTTTATAGTATAAGTCAAGATAAAAAAGTACAAACATTTGTTTTTTTTCGCACGCAAAAAATTAAGGACTTGCCACCCGGTGATTGTAGTCCAGTGGCGACAGCATTTTGGTGATAATCACCATCAACATACGCTACACTTGATGATGATCAACGGGTAAAGCATCTCCGTGCGTGAAAACTTCCAAGCACTACAAATTACTAATTACTCATTTTTTTAAGTATGCTAATTTTGATAAGCGGCCAATCGGGAGCTTATTTTGAATCGCCTATTGGACGAGGTGTTAAGCACCTCGTACTACACAACTATGAGATGATTGTAGCTCAGTGGCTGCCCAAGTCTTCGTGGCATCCTGTGGCTGAAAAGATTATGATTTCTTTTTATGGCGAGAGTGAATAGGCACTTACAGGACAAATATGTACCATCCTAGATTGCATCTTACTTAACATCAGGTACGATTGCGGTCAAATACCTGACTTATCCTACATAAAAAAAAATGTTATTTCCACTCACCGATTGGACGAGCTGTAAAGAACCTCGTGCTGCACCAACTGGTAGTCGCCATCGCCACCGCAACCGGATCCTGCTCGGCCAACGAGTGGAAGTGGATTGTCGCAGGAGCGCAGGACGAGGCCGCCACCGCATGTACAGGGCATACGAAATTTCGATAGTTAGATTCTGTATAAATTAATGGCAAGGGGACACGTGCAAACGATTGAGAGAGATGTAAATGAGTTATTTTTTTTTGTTTATTAATTTAAATATTTTCAGTAACTTATTATTGGCGATAACTGCTTCACAATTTGATGAAAATCAGTGCAAGAAACTTGCATCTCAGCAAATTACAAAGGGATATGAAATGCAAACGACTAATAGAGAGCACCGAGTTACCCAATATTGACTGTTACTACGAATATAAAGTTACATGCTACTTTATAAGACTTTATTCGTATTTTTATGTCTCAAAACACGTCCCAAAAATATCTCGCTACTACTTCTGGACAAAAATATCGGCTGACGCTGAGAAGACATAGAATTTGGAAACTAAACATCCGGATTTAAATGACAAACACTTAAAAATTTACTCAATTATAATACGAGGTCAGTAGCATTTTGAGCATTAACAAACAAGGCAATATACAAGTAAATGTGCGCAGTTTCACATATCTCATACTGTTAGCGGTAGGCCGCGGACTGTCGCTCAGTCGTTTGCTTTGACCCCAAACATACTAATTAATGGTTCAATTAAAATTTCAAATAGCTATGACACTACATTGGAGAACTGAAGTCAAAGCGTTCATTCTTAAGAGGAGGGAGGGGAGACAGTATAAGAAGTTTAGAAGTCTAGATGTATGGGTATTGTGTGTGTTCATTATGTTTCTTTCTTTCTTTCTTTTCTAATGAACATACACATACAAGAATTTAAAGGAAATATTTCGTGAAGGAGTCGTCTAGCTAGATTTTCGGCAATCTAGTATACACGAACAACACGAGTGACGTCATTAATTAAGCCAAACCTGGCACAGAACGGGAAAGTGAAAGAGTTACTAAATCGGGAGACGACCCCGAACTGTACTAGCCAAATATAGCAAAACTGTTCCACGTTCGGGATACGGCTAGATTTAAAATTTATAATCGTTGAGCTTCGTGTGTACTCGAGTGCCGAGATGTGCATCGGACAAAAGGCGGTGCATGAAAGTTCAAACAAACTACAGGTTCGGTTCTCAAAACACCCACGCCGCTCGCATTGTTACCTCCTGTCGGTTGGTTGAATTTTTATACAACATTCCGGTATTCCGGTACAGAGCCAGACAATCGTAAGGAAGCGTGTATAGTCAGCGGCGATAGACTTGGGCAATCTTGCACTTTATGACCGACAAAGACTGACGCCAAACTTTCTATGGTTCTAGTAAATCAAGTTAGTAGATTTTTAGTAAGTAGATTTTTATCATAATTTTATGTACAAAATTGCTGATGTTTATTGACGCTGACTATACGGGTTCGCTTTTAACTTCAGAGTAATCGTAGACTATTCAAACAACAATTACAAATAATATAAACCCCTACCAGTTATTATAAACTACTCAAAGTGTTGGTAATAGCTTAACTTTCATACAAGTTTAATAACTCTACAAATTATTATGTATGTGTTTGAATAAACCACGATTACCTGAAGTATTGAAATGCAAATGAAACGTTCGCACTTACAACTGGCAAGCTCTATTATTATTTATGCACTCTAAATAACTAAGACATAAATAGTTTTGTTGTTATGAGTGCGATATTATTATAAGCATGTTTAGTGTAACAATGTTCAGAGTGCCTGGTTTTACTAAGTACGATGAGTTTAACATTTAACAACTAAATAAATTGCATATTACCAATAAGAATTTTCGCTAAATCAACTTTTTGATGTGATTATTTATTATTATTATCGCAAATTTAGTTTAATTAATAGCGCAATAATTTTAAATGCACTAGGAAAATCAACTATTTATTTAAATGGCCTGTGTTATACTTTAAAATAAATAATATGCCAAGACTCAGGAGCAGAGTTTGTGAATGTGATTGACAGAGCTGATTTATGATGCGTATCGTAAAATTTGTTAAATTAACCTACAATTTGGGCGCGAATGAAACCCAACCAAGGCGTTTCGTCGAGAGTTAGTGTTGGAGTTAGGTGTTTGCGAAATGTAGCGTTGGTTTGGTAGATATTTGTTGAGTGTAGCGTTAGCGTAAAGGAGGTAACAATAATTGGTTGACATTACGTTTGTGGTTACCTTGCGGCTGGGGCGGGTGGTTGGCCCCGCCCGCCGCCAGCTGCTTGCTGTGGGCCGTCGTCGTTGCGGCCTGGGGAGCCGTCTTGTGTCGCGCGCCCGCCGCGCCACTCGGGATTTGGGCGCGCACCTGCTCGCTGCTATCTCCGACACTGTGGACAGACGACGCTAATTAAGGATGGTAATTAATTGGGGTAGGACGATAAATAAATAAATCTTTGGACAATTTCACACAGCGCCAGCTAGCCCCAAAGTAAGCAACTTAATGCTTGTGTTATGGGTGCTAGCTTAACGGGTATACTACTTATATACTTTTTTTTTTAAATACATAAATATTATACATAGTCACACCCAGACCCGTCACAGAAATTAAAATTCATTATTTCAATTTCTGCCCGGCCGGGAATCGAACCCGGGACCTCTCGGCATAGTAGTCCGTTCTGAACCACTACACCAAACGGCCGACGATGTGCGACAGAATAACCCCGTGAACGCTAGTGATGTTAGCTGGCAGCGGTGAGGGCCACAGCTCATGTAAATCCCGTTAGAGTTCACACTTGTATTTTATGAGAGTACCATTGTAACTTAGACCAGTGCTGCCCCCGATAGTCGAAAAGGCGCATATAACTTTTTTCGGATATGAACTAAACTAAATGTAGCTAAGAATTATTTTCCGTTTTGATGTTAGATGCGCCCTTTCACCTATCGGGGGCAGTGTGTGCACGGCTCTTTCTGCGGCTATTTACTTAAATTTCTAGTAAGTAATTGCCTGATATGTAGGACTAAAGCTCGCTTAATGGGTATTTTAGCTTTATCTACTCCCTACAGTAAAAGATTACTATTCTTCCGAGGACTTTTAGAGATGTTAGCGCAAGCCCGGTCGTGAAGTGCCTTTGGAAGTATTCCATGACCTCGTCTCCACCAACGAAATGGTAATTATCTTCCCTTTAATAGCTTATTGAGCTGTAAGGACTTCTAGGGTGAAGTGGAGGTCACCTCACTACGCAGTGATGGATGTGTGCTCGGCGACGCGACGCACAGTGGTCAATTTTAAGAATTTTTAAACGTTAAATACTTTTATTTTATACATAATTTAGGTATGTGAAAGTCATCCCTTAATGATTACGACTTCTGGTTCTTGTAACAAATTTAGAACTTCAGCTGACAAGGTGTTCTTATTATTCACGGTTATAGATCTCATATTAGACATGATGGGATCTGAAGATAGAAGCAGTATTTTAATGAGATCTTCATTGTTTAGTTGTCTGGTCATTTTTCTGGTGTCTTTATGGCGACTTTCTTGCGAGTCCTCTCCGAGCATGCCGATTGGTAGTATGAAATTGTCTATGATGTTTTTGCCGTGTACTAAAACTTTATGAACGGTTGGTGTCATAGAATACCAATTATAAAGATCAACATATTTCATAGCAGTGTCTTTAGCATATTCTCCGAATTTGACGCTATTTATTTTGTAACCAGAGATAAGGGTTTTTAAGATGATACTGAACCTCTCAATTAGATCGCTATCAATTCCGGTAATATTTGACGATATACTTACCCGGATTAGCAAAGAAGCATCTAGCAGTATTGCCATCATTGCTGTTCCCGAACCCAGGCTTAGGAACATCAACTACCAAACCAAGTTACTCCTTGAATTGCGTTTGAATGTGTACTTTTCTTTCTGCTACAATTTTCTTGTTTATTTCGCCACGAGATTGTTTATTTCTTATTGTATTTTTTACGAAATATGTAACAGACACTCATAAAATCCTATGAAGGCATGTGAAGGTGACATTTCGCAATTTTTTACTGTTTTGAGCTGATTTCAGCCACAATCTTGAAGTAATTGTACAAAAATTATGAATTGCATTTTGAAAAATTTTTTGGTTTGTTATGTTCAATTCTGATACTCCAATAGAGTCTAAAATAAAGTTGAACAATAAATCTTTGCTATTCTGGGACATCAGCTTCATCGGAGGATTTTTTGATAATAATTCAAATAATTCCATGTTTTTGATAGCACTTCCATTGCCTAAAAAATTGAAAAAATCCAATGAAACTGCAAATTTCTGCAAATAAAACTGATATTTTTGAATAGGTAACACTTCAGCCTATGACCAAATAACAAAAGTTTTTATTTCTAATTAGTTCCTAAAAACGTATGTTCCTTTTTATCTGCTAAATATGTATAAAAACGGTAGTCAAATTCCCTATTTATTTATGATATGAAAATCTGCAAGATTTTAAATTGTTAATATGAAAATAGGATGTACTGACCTTCACTAATTATCACCATTTTTTACTAAACTCACTATTGGATAGGTATTTAGCAAATAACAAAAGAAAACTCGCACAAATCCGTCTATCTTAAAATAGAAATACTACAACACACAGATTATTAACTTTAAATTAATGAATCTTAGGAACCGATAAGAGTACACTGATGATATTTCTTTATAATGTAAACAACTAACCCTAAAATAGAAATATCGTTTATTTTTCGGCTTACCTGCACATTGATAAAGTTGAATTTTCTACCGCTAAAGTTTGAAAATTGACCACAGTGCGACGTATAAAAATAATGAACATTGTTGAAATAAATAAAAATATTAGAATTATTAAGGAGCCTGATATTTGTCCATGCTGGATTTTTTCCAATAAAAGTTCCTTGTAAAATAATTTTATAACATGAAAGGAACATTTAATATCTGGTTACAAAATACACGGCCATTGCAAAAACGAGATTCTGATTCAGAGTTGTTTATCACTTTTATAGGATGTATGTCGATAACACAGTCACCTAGTTAGGTGGGCTCAGTTATCGACTAAATGCGTCAAGTATCAAGATATTTATTTTTACTGTCATCAAGACCAATGACGTCATTGGATCGGATTTAGACGATGTTTCTGTTAATTATAGTTATAGGTTTAATATAATCGAGACTCAAAAACAGTTTTTAAACTAGGTACCTATAATTAGGCCACGTTGCTAATTTCCTATTAAATAATGTTAGCGAAAAAAAAATTGAAGATAGCTCAAGCTGCAATAAAGCTGCCTAGTAAGACTTACTTAATTTTTACAGCATGCATTTATATCACGTTTTAATTAGCAAAAAGTTAATTTTATTCCGAGCCCACTATTTCATAAGACAATTTATTTGCTACACGACAAATCTCGTGTAAATATCAATTAACCTTAATGAAGCCTGGTAGATAAGATAGTTTGTAGAAATGTAGGTAAGTTCGTTGACCCCGTTAGCCCTATTAGAGCCGGCGATATAAGACCACACCGACGACAAAAATAAACATACAACTACATGTGCCTGTCAGCATCCAATTACATGTAGATTTCCTGGTAAAACAGCAGGCAACAGAAAAATAAGCCATTATCTATATGGAATTATACTCGTATCTAGTCATAATAAAATCATACTAAAATCAGAAACGGTGGAACTAACGTCGGTCACAATTGAAGATTTTGTGCACAGACTTACGGTTATGGTTTTCCATTCCTATAACTCGGGTATACTTTAAAAGACACTAGAATATCGACTAAGAAAGAATTTTCCGAAATACGATGGCTAATGAAAATTCCCTTATCTACTACATAATAAAGACCCCACGCGCGGACACCACCTGGTATTTTTAAAGTATATTGTCTTCAACATACAATTGGATTAAAATCTAAAAATAGAAGATGATAACAAGGATAGTCTAGCTAGACAATGAATGTCACCTACTCGTCTAAAAGTAAACAATAGACTCACTATCGCAGACACTACGCACGAATTTGACGCTGAAGTTTGAAAGCAAAAGGGGTGCTTGTAGACAATGCTCTAAGCACAAAAGAAAAGATAAAAAGGATTTGCTAGCAAATAAAGCTTTTTCGAGACACTTTTAAAAGTTTATTAACATCAATGGGTAATAATAAGTGCCCAGTAAATTTTTAGAAAATGTTTTAAAACTTTTATAGCATTCCCGGCATTATAATAGAGAAATCCCCGCACTTGCGAGTTGATTATTTCTGTTGCAAAATAGCCACTATTACAACTACATAAGTTGCTATTTTGTACCCTGTGGTGGACAAAAAATTTGCTGGCAGCCCCGTGCACGGTGCACACCTGTTTCGAATTACTAAAGAAAAAAGATTACAATAAAAATTTTGGATTTTATTTCATTCATGCCATGATTTGAAAAATGTTGATTTAGGTGAAAAAAGGTATAAAAAGAGAAATTAGGATTTGTCCAATATGTATGAATTCGACTAGTTCGATATAGTCAGTTAATGTATATCTTTTTGTGACAACTTGAAAATGTAATATGACATGATAAGTTGATAATATTTTGTCGTTTTAAATAAACATAAATGCCAGATAACACACTAATCGTAGAAGTCTCCATATCAACCAGTACACACCCAAAAGTAACGTAGAAAAATATAATTTTATGTTTTAAACAAAACTGTAACGTGAATAATATTTTCATTAGACTTTTAACCTTTATAATAATATCCATATTTCTTTATAATAATTCTGTTGTTGTACCTATAAATAAATAAATAAATATTACGAAATTATTTAAACATGAATCAACGCTCGAAAATAGACTCAAGCTTGCGATGGGTAAATATTGATTGAAATTCAAATTCAATCCAGGCCTAAGTTTCAATTGAGTTTTGACTGCGTTTCAAAATTCACTGCTTGGGTTCCAAGAGATCAAAACGCCAATGAAACTCAAGCATAAATTCTGTCCAGTAATTGGTTAAAATATTGAACATCAACCAATCAAAAGCTTGAATCTATGTTTAAGATTGAATCGAGTTAGACAAAATATGCAATTTCAAGAAGGTTTAACTTACACATCGGCAAGCAGATCAAAATCGTCGTCCTCGTAATCGTCGTCGCTCTCGAATTTAAGCCTAGGTATGGACAGATCCATTTTAACTACAAACTGTACACTCACAACACCGAATATACACTATATTACACTGTACAAGCACTTATCATAAATCGTCTAGGATCACTGTATTGAGTTTTAATCTGCATTTGGAGTTTTTAGTGCGTACGCTGCGTGTGCGCATCCTCAGGGGTTGAGGGTACACTGAGCGACCCGGCCGCGTCACGGGGAGGGGTAGCAGGTAGCCGAAGGCTTAATGACAACGAATGAGTAATAGAAGCGATAGCGAATCAGAAAACACCACGCGTGTTGTGGCAAAAATTTGACATTAACCGGCGTAATGATTTTTGGCCCTGGTGATTTTTTAAGCAGAGGATACAATTTTGATTGATTAGATTTGTTCATGTAATGAAAGTTCGGCACTTTTATTTCCATGAAATAAAATGTTACGTTCAATTTCAATATGCTGGCCTGAGCTACGATCAACTTTCAGATTTGCATTAAATGCAGTATTTTTAATTTTAATGAAGTCATTTATTAAAAAAAGAAACTCCGAATGTGCAACTAAACACAACTTATTCAATTTATTAATTATTTTAAGCACAATATACAAATTAGAAAAAATAACGTGGACAACAGCAAGGCATTAGAAGTTAAGGGGACTGACATTATAAGTCGAAATTTGGCGGGGCTAGAGTTTCCCTTCTACGCTTATCGTTGTTCTCATGCCGAGGGGCGCACACCCCAAATTCCCCGTATTGTGCGCGAACCATTGAGAGTTACAAAAAACGCTGCGTGCGCGCATGTCCTCGATCACGTTTGTTTGCGTTCTGTGGGAGCGCACCGCTACTTGCTCGGTGTTACGGTATTTGTTTGCTTGTTTTAGAAATTTAAGTTTAAAGCAAATACTGTGGTACGGTTGAGCTGAAGGTTTATCAAGGTAAACTTTACCTTGATAAACCTTTTTGCACTAAAGCTAAGATGCTCATTGCACTTTAAATCTTATGTAGTTTTAGCAGGTGTTATTATGCAATAAAAACTTCACTTTTGTGCGAACTACTGTATCAATTTTCTAAATTAAATCTGCAGCTCTTTTTCCTATGTAACACATACCAGCTACACAATTAAATCTAAAGGCGACTATAACCAATAACGGCACAGGTGTAATAGTCGTGACTTTTTATTTCTCAAACGGGATAAGAGAGGTTTTACTTAATGGTACAACAGAATTGCCACATTGCGTAATATTCAGTTGTTTATAAAAATAAACTTTTATCATCTCCCGCGATACGTTTCATTAAAGATAATATTGTTTAGTTAAACATTTATGTGGATAACATTTTTACTGCGCAGTAGTTTATGTGCTTACCTACTAGGTATATGTATAGGTATGTATGTAGCCGACCTAGCTCAACGTACATTACATTAGTGACACTGACACTTGAGCCAGCCGTCCGATTGGTCAAGTGGCAGTGGCGAGAGAAACCATGACGTATAAGATGACGCACTCGGCCTCTCAATTAAAGCCATTATTCATTTATTTCTAGTATGAACTGATTTTCAAGGATGTACGATAGAAAGGATGCGTTTACTCGCAGACATAATTCTCTTCTTCTCTAATAAAGCTATTTCATCTTTTATTGTAATGGTCAAACGCCAAATATCCACCTACATTTTAACCAAAGGAAATAAGATTTTAAAGGCAAACTATTTTAAGCTAAGTGTAGTCTGGAGAAAGAACATAAACACTATTATTCCAGCTACGGCCAAGGCCAACACCTACCTTGGTTCATATGGTCTAGCCACAGTAAAAGCGAAATAGTAATACATCATCTTACAAAATTCTAGCCGATACATTTCCTATCAGGTTCTCAAGGATCATGAAGGACCCTACCTACTGGACCATCCTACCATTAAAAAAGGCAGATGAAATAAGCTGAAGACGGGGTAAAATGACGCGTAGGCGGGGGAGGCCTGTCCAACAGTAGCCTCCTAGCTGATGACGATGAAAAAGGTTCCCCAAAGCCGTAGTAGGCTAAATTCTTCATTTGCCTCTGTTAAACTAGAAAGGGTCGTGTGGAGCCTAATATTATAATGATAATGATGATGATAAAGATGATGAGGATGATGTTAATAATGATGATAATGATGAGGATGATGTTGATAAAGATGATGAGGATGATGTTGATAAAGATGATGAGGATGATGTTAATAATGATGATAATGATGAAGATGATGTTGATGTTTTTTATTATCCCGAAGCAGTGGTAGGGTTAATATGGGGACGTGTAAAAGTGCTTTTTAAAAGCCTATTTGCAAAAATAAATTAGTTTCATGAGTTTATTTTTTATGATAATGATGATGGTGATGATAAAGATAATGAGGTTGATAATGAAGCTACTCACGTCGCGTCGCGGCAGCAGGGTCTCGCACAGTGCACGGGCGGAGCGGGCGGGGGCGCGGGCGGCGGGGACCGCTCCGCATCGCACGCGCGACTCGGCACGGCGGGCGCGCCGCAGCAGACCGCCCCGGCGCCTGACCAACACTTGCTCTGTGAACAACAAACGAAATACATTAATAAAAGTTAGTCACAAAACGTCATCATCTACAGCCCTTTACAGTTATCTGCTGGACTATGAGCCTCCTCTACTACAGTGGAGGGTTTTGCCATAATCCCCACGCTTGGCAGGCGGGTTGGAGATCGCAGTTTATGTTTTTCAGAGAGCGCTGCTGCCCGTTCTCCGTTTGATATTATGTAGTCCCTAAAGTCACAAAAAGTCATTTATTGCAAAAAGGCTTTGAAAAAGCGCTTTTACACATCCCAGAATTACTTTAATTAATAAAACCTACCACAGCTTTGGACGGACAGTAAACGGGCCAGTGCTGAGAAGAAGCAGCGCAAGAAAGCTCTTATAATACCCAAAGATAATACAATTTTCGGACAACTTTCAGTGCCACGTCTATATTCTACCGCGCGCTAAAGCACAGGCAACGCCATCTCTCGGTAGCAAGGGGAAAGCTAACATTTGAATGGACCACCGTGTTTTGCACTGTTTCGGTAGCAAGGGGAAAGCTAACATTTGAATGGACCACCGTGTTTTGCACTGTTTCCAAATTCCTATCTCCATAAAAGTTTAAAAAAATATATGAAACTGTTTTCTGTCTTGGAAAAAATACAGCAACAAGTTTATGTCACACATCCGCCAGTAATCATATAAAGTTAACTGGATCCTTAATTAAGGGAAACTGACTTTACCGTTCGGAATCTACATATTCAAACTATGTACTGATATACATAATATTATGTACATGGATGTGGCAATAGCCAAGACAGACGCGTCCGGTACAGCCAGTCAAGCAGCTACGGCAGTATATAGATCTGGACTAGTACATAGATCTAGACTAGACTTCTAAGAATAGACATAATGGATGTGAGGACTGTCTAGTCAACAGCCATTATACATAGATGTGTTCTTGATAGTTGTAAAATCATTTCATCATTATCATCATACGAAGACGCGAAATCTACCTAATTATAACACGCTTGAGTCCGTGCATGGATGACTTACTATTTGCAAATCAATAGTGAGTATTTATTTTATGTAGTTATGGTTTAGTACATTAGTAGGACAGTACGTACAGCAAGCTAAACACTGGCTTATTGTGATTGTAGTAGAGACGAGTTTGCAGTGCTGTTGTCTCTACAAAACCCAAGAATATACATACCTATTTGAGTTATTTTGTGAGTGACACTCATCGCCTTGGAGAGCGTGGCCAAAAACAATCTTGTTTACTAAACAGAAATCGTTATGAACTTCAAAAACACAAAGGCCTCATTAACAGTGGGAAATGATGAGAATTTTACACGAATAACAATGTTTTAATTATCCGGCTTTGCATCGTCCCAACGGGCAGGACGTCCTAAATGATTACAATTATAATTTTTGAAAGAATAACATTGTTGGACTACATTTCGTAAAATTATGGACTACACAAGCCAAAGTAAACATTGTGGCATCTCTATGTTGTTAATAGGTGAAATTTTACAACACAAATACTGATAAGCTCTGCATTGTAGAGCTTTGACAGCTTGAGAAGCTTGAAAAAAAAAATGAAGCATCAAATTTTTTGAGGCACCAATTAATAATATTGGCTTTAAGTTTGCTAATTACCCATTAATTTTTTTTTACTCCTTAATGTATAAACACTTGGTTTGAAAGTACTTAAAATGAACATTAAGAAACTTTTTAAGTACATTTTCTGAGTCATTAACCGTAAGGTATTAAGTTGTGATGACTTGTCACAATACTAATTTATTAATGAGGTGGCATTGTCACAGAAATTCTCAGGTAATCAATTGACTAGTAAGTAGGTAATTTAATGTTAGCTTAGTCATGTGGAATTGTGGACTATAGCTACCACAGATTACAGAAAAAGAGGAAAATTAACCTGTCCTCAAAAAGCGCAATACTGATATAAAAGTACATAAATAATTGACCAAAAAAATCGTTAAAGTTGTTCATTACGAAAAAGTTTACAATATTATATTTTGACAATCCAATTTGTTTATTGTATATTGCTAAGTTAACACGTTCCCAGTCAGCACGGCCATTTGAAACGTACAAGCCATTTAGGAACGCCTCTGTTATTAACTAATTAGTGTGAGAAGGTTTCTATTTTAGTAATCTGCAGTTAGCAATCAATGAGGTTATTTTCATTAATTATACACTGGTTATTGTAACTCAACACGCGAGTCCGTTCTCAAACTGTTAGAATATAACAATACAATTTACTCGTGTAATACAATGGTTTATAACGGTCGGTGTTAAACTGTTGATATATTATTTTTTCCTCTACTTATTTCATAGTGTAAAAACCAGTCGGGACTGTGCGATATGGCTTGGCAAACGCAAGTAAAAATAGTCTGAGAGAGCAGAAAATATTTATTTCCGTTTCTCTCGGAAAATAAGATTCTCGTCGTATTGCAAATTTCAAAGTGCATTCTAATAGGTATTTGTAGTCCTTCATACTCCGTTCCAGGTTTTCACAAGTGTGAAGGAATTCTTCTGATTAATTTTGTTGCGGTTCTAATGACAGTTCTTTTCCCCGGGTCAAACTTGACCTTCACAGGTTGGGTTTTATTGGCAGTCAAGCTATAGATCCTGGCTACACAGGAGTTGCAGCGGGAATAGTCCCGTAAGTGTCAAGGAATCAACATTGCAAAAATCTGTTCAAATTCTAGACTAAAACAGCGTGTGAAAATGGCAATTCAACTCGATTGTTTGCGAACAAGATCTCCAATGATTGTCAGCCGATTCTCTCCAATCGATGTGTTTGTCCAGTGTCAATCGATTCGTTGATTGCAGTTGCATTATAGATGGGCGGCCGATGACGCATGGCGCACCTGGTCGGCAGACGGTTAAATGAATAGCTTCTATTAACAATTCAGCCACGGCAATTTGCGTCAGGCTGCCTGTTAGCATCGTATGACACGGCAATGGCATACTTTCGTTCATAACTTATGATCAAAGGATCTTTTAAACTGGAATTCCTTAAATCCTGTAGCTATGTGGAAACTGAGGCATTTCTAGAAGAAGTAAATTAACTAAATCACCCACCCTCGCACACACACTCACACTCACTCACTCACACTCACACACACACAAACACACACACACACACACACTCTTGCACCCTGGAATTTTGAACATTAATTTATTTTGTGTAACAACAACAACCTGAAACAAATTACTTTTTCTTTTTTATATTTAAATTGATTTAATTAATTAATTTTTACATTATTTTATTTAATTTAATAAAATAGGCTGAAAAATAATATATGTATAATCTAAAGTCATAATTATTATTTATATTGTCAATTAATGTTAAATTAATATGGAGAGCGGGGATATTCTACCACAAGTATTTATATACTTAAAATAATTCCTCGATCGCAATATAGAAATGTAAAAACACCTGGTTATGAATAAAGAAATTTGAATTTGAATTTGAATTTGAATTTTAAACTGGAATTAATGTCAATCAACCGAAAGCCTTCCTACATTCTTCGGCCCTTTTGAGGGCGTGACAAATAATACAACTATTAAGATAAAGCCATTGGCCTAAGAAAAAGAAAAATCGCCATTTTATTTTCGAGAAACAAAAGCACGGCATTTTCCATAGTTTGCTTCGGAACAAAGACATCAAACAATCGTGATCATCTAATAAAATGTTAAGCAAATGTTTGTATAAACTACTTTGTTGAAAATAAGAAAACAACGTTGAATATAGGACGCAAATAATAGCTACAAAGTCAAAGCCAGTTCTGGATATAGTTTGCGCGCGAGTGTTTTACAAATTAGCATAAACAAATATCTTGTATGTTGAAAAGAGTACTTGACGTGAATACTGAAAGTATTTAACTCAAATTGCTTTGCCGGAAAAATGCGAAATGATTCGATAAACATCGCATAAATATTTATTTATAATTCAGTGAGTAGATTAAAAATAAGGTAGGCCAGAGGCCTTAAAGCACTTAAAATTAAATATAGCTCACTATATTTAAAGCATACTGTATCTTGATGCGTGCTCGATTGATTGATGGAATGACGCTCCAGGCATTTTATGCGAAAAAGCAAAAAAAGCATTGAAAACAAACAGTGCGGAGTGTTAAATATTGTGGGTGCAAAAAGCATGCGTAACAAGTACAGTTGACAGCACATGGTGGGACTCTACATTTTGGTTGCAAACTCGCTCTTATTACAAGCATACATAAGATATTTGTCCTGAAGCCACCACATGTGAACGCACTGATGCGCACACGCACGGGTGACTCTCAGTTTTGCTGTAGCGTCTTAGGAATCTGCCCAATGCGATGGTCGCTATGGACAGCTAGTAATGACGCAAAGATCACACGGCGATGGATAAGTATCGATACCTCCCTTTCAACTGAAATGACGGTTGACATGTTTTTTTTTTTCAAGTTCGAGTTGGCTACAGCGTCATTTGTTGCAGATGTAGGAGGCATTGATGCTTCCCCATCCCCATCAATAAATAAATACTAAATCTACATAAAAAAAAATGTTTTACTACTATCCAAATAATCGCAAAGCATTAAGCAGTGAAGCATCAATTTTAGACTTGAAAGTTTAAAATAACAAGTGCCATTATATTATTTAGCTTGATGTTTTATTTTCCATACATATGATACGCTATTAGAAACTACTGAAACTGTAAACAGTTAACAAGTTCATAATGTCGACAATTTTCGTCGACAAGGTAAACACTAAACACATCCACGCAAACATTATCTTGTCATGTTCGTTTCCTTCTACAAGGTGATGTTATTATTTCTGTTTTTGTCAAAATTTAGGTTATTGTAACACATACATTTATGTATCAATTACATTACTTGTATAACATAAAACAATTCTGATATTTTTAACATCAAGTTATATCATGACCATGACCCGCCAATGGTCAGACAGATGACATATCCCATTGAACTGCACGGATTACTATTATCGGAAAATTGGGTAATACAAGATAGAT